GTAGACAATGATGTGACTTCCACATAAGATCTTATAGAGTAGGCAGCCACATGATGACAGATCTACAATTTTGGGATTGGGTTTATTATTAAAGTAGTATTAATACCGAACTAGATCGTAATTCTGCAAACATTTAGAACGACCAGGATTCTAATACAATAATGCCGAATTTTGACCTACTGTGCAACGCGAATACTATGCGATTTTTGAAAAATATGATAAAAGCCACATTCATAGTGCAATACTAAAATCATAAACTGAACTATCAACATCTGCACTAATATACTGCCTTTTATTGATTCCATTTACTTACCAACCCTACTTGAGTAACATATCATATACAAACCAACGCTACAAATTATTGGAAGTGCCTGTAAAAATGGCGTGTATTTAGATGGTAGTTGGAGGTAGTCAACAGGAAACCCTGGACCCGGGTTTCGTGCTACTTGGCACTCGTCAGCAAGGTGTACCTGTAATCTTGAGGGAACTGGTGCTCCCTGGCGGATTCGATCTCGTGTCACCCAGCTTCACAGTCAGAGACTACCATCTAAATATCAATACATAGTGCCCGCAGTGTCGAGTCACCTAGACTGGTGGCCACATTGCAACATGATCGATAGCATTCGATCTGCACTAATAAGGACTAGACAAGCATGACATTGATCACCACCCAGTGATCAATCAATTGTAAAAATGGCGTGTGCTTGATCTGACAGAAATGCATATTATGAGTATGAGCGCAAACGTAAATAACTGTTTGTTATACAAACAATAGTAATATTTATTGTCCTACTGCAAACTTTGGAATTCGAGAAATTCTGGTTTATCTGTCCCATTAGCTTTTGCCAGTAGTTGGTTCCTAACTGCACGATCTTTGAGGTTGAGCACCATTACTAAAAAGATTTACATTCGACATGTATCACCAACAGTAGGTAAACAGTGGTGAACTCGGGGGGAAAGAAAGGAAGTCAAGTAGCTGGATCATGCAGGCATGGTCACATGACCTCTCGCTTATTGTATCAAGCATATGACACTCTACCCAGCTCAACTGTGTTCTTCAGAAATGCTAGAAGTCAAATTACTGATCGTCACGATAGGAATGATGTGATTTGCTTGTAACATGGAACTAGTAGAGACAGTGTATCCCAAAGAGGTGTGCAACATGGTGCTTGGATTGAAGTAATATTCATATATATCACAAACGTGAAAGAGACTAAAATCACAAAATAAGGGACAGTGGCGTTACTGACCAGCAAACATGACGACGGAGAGATAATTTCGATCTACCCATGTTCGTAGGGCCGGGACATTTTTTTGACTTACGGCCCCTTGTAGTCTAGCGGGATATAAGGTAGCAACCTGAGTAACTTACTGCAGTGAAGCGTGTATCATCTGTAACAATATGGTATTGCCTGTAACATAATGTTATTTGAGAGTAAATTACTGTTGTTATTTTGATTACTCATTCTAACTGCTGTCACCGCTCAACTATTCAATGTCTCGTGGTTAGGCTACTCCGATATTTTAGTACCCTCAGAAAGCAGAAGAAATGTTACCAGAAGGGTCTACATGGGTTAATCGAATAAAGAGGAGTATCAGACATGAAATTATTGAGTTCCCGGACATACCAAAGCCATGTCGTTGGTCAGACAATTATCAGTTTATGGTTGTGGAGATTATTAACTTATTGATTGAGATCTCGAACCGATCGATGTTAGACCATCAATGGAAACCTGAAAGCCCTAGACGACCGTTTCGTTCTATTACGGGACACCTCAACAGTGCTCAGCCACGACCCCGCTCGCGGGCTTCGAGCCCAGAGCCTTCGGTCTCGCGCGCGAATGCCCAACCTCTAAACCTCTGAGCCGTCATCCGACGGCGTTAATGTCTAACCTCAACCAATCCACGAAATTGTGCGACCATCTTCCATTGAACTGAGGTAGATTCCTGTCTCTACCCAACACGGAATAACTTCACTAGCCACGGCCCCTCACTAGAACTCAGAGAATTCCCTCACGAAATTAGTCATCAGTGAGCACATGGTCCTCGATCCGAATCCCACGAACGGTATCGTGGATGCACACTTCTGAGTCCTACAATAGGACGAAACGGTCATCTAATGCCTCCAGGTTAGACAGTTGTCACCAGTCGTCATTGTTGATTTTTGTTGATCAATCAAAGTCTAATGACTAGTCACCTCGGGTAAGATGACCTTCGTCCCAACAAATCACCTGACTACTAATTAATGTTATTTCCCTACGATACTTACCGTCACGCTTTTGTTGAACTTACTGATACTAGGGAAGTCGAGTGACCAAATTACCATATTTGAATGCTCCCAAAGACCTAGAACACCTAGATGCCAACACAGAGCAATAAGCCCATCTAAACTAGATCATTATGGACGTTTAAGTGAATTCCGTAGGAAGTAAGGGGGATACGTTCAAGTGTTACCCCGTAATAACTTCCATCATCAATAACTACCTAACTTGTTTTACCCTTAACTTTTTGAAGAAACATTACAAAAAACCATACGTTTCTATAGTCAAGAGCTATTCTGTTACCCAGACGCGGATCACAGGGAACTGCACAATATAACAAACTGTAGGTACATCTACTACTTGGGCATCTAGTCATTTCCTAAAAAAAGACAGTGAGCTTTTGGAAAATGCTCAGAGAACAGCAACTAAGCTCTTTTCAAAATGATAAAGAGAACTATGTGTATGAAACTAAGCCGATTCCCGGAATTGCGAAGCTCACGTATGATGCTCGACTGGCCAAGCTAAATATATTCATGTTGTCATATCGGAGAACTAGAGGCGACTTGATTACTTACTTGCTCACTTACTTAATCCTGTTGCTCCCAATGGAGCATAGGCGCCGATCAGCGTTCTCCAACCCACTCTGTCTTGGAACTTCTTGTCCAGGTCTTTCCAATTTTTGTTCATTCTTCTCATGTCTGTCTCCGTTTCTCGACGTAATGCGTTCTCTGGTCTTCCTCCTCTTCTTTATTTAGCCTTGAGGATTCCATGTGGGGGGTTGCCTTGTGACGCAGTCGGGTGTTTTCCTCAATGTGTGTCCTATCCACTTCCAGCGCTTCTTCCTGGTCTCTTCCTCCGGTGAGATCTGGTTCATTCTCTCCCATAGTAGGTTGTTGTCAGTAGTGTCTGGCCAATGGATCCGAAGTATTTTGTGTAGACAGATGTTAATAAGCACTTATATCTTATGGATGACTGCTTTCGTATTTCTCCAGGTTTCCACCCCATACAGTAGAACCGTCTTCACATTCGTACTGAAAGTTCTGATCTTGGTGTTGTTTGACAGAGAGTTAATTTGAGTTCCAGATGTTCTTCAGTTGTAAATATGCTGCTCTTGCTTTGACGATGTGCGCCTTCACAGCTGCATCAGATCCACCATGTTCATCAATCATGCTGCCCAGATACGTAAAGGTTTTTACATCTTCTAAATCTTCTCCACGAAGTGTGATTCGACTGTTTTATGCTGTGTTGTATCGAATAATCTTGCTTTTCCCTTTGTGAATGTTGAGACCTACTTCTGCTGAGGATGCTGCTACACCGGTCATCTTCTGCATTTGTTGTTGCGTGGTATGTAGGAGATCTAGACGATCTAAGTCTAAATCGTCCAGCTGCATCCTAGCTGTCCACTGTATTCCATGCCCACACTCACATATTGACGTCTTTATGATCCAGTCGATCACCAGGAGAAAGAGAAGGGGTGAGAGTAAACGACCTTCCCTAACACCGGTCTTCACCTCGAACGAGTCTGTGACCGGTCCTCTATGCACGATTTTGCAGTTTAATGCGTTATAGGAATTCTCTATGATATTGACTACCTTCTGAGGCACGCCGTAGTATCGAAAAAGCTTCTATAGTGTTGTCCTGTCCACGTTATCAAGTGCTTTTTCGTAGTCAATGAAGTTGATGTAGAGTGATGAATTCCATTCAATCGGTTGTTCCACCATGGTCCGTAAACTTGTGATTTGGTCTTTACACAATTGATCCTCACGGAATCCAGTCTGTTGGTCTCGGCGACTTGATAACAATTTTCAAATTGCTTAGCTATAAATTTAAACCTTCATTTTTTTCCAAAACAGAATTTACGAGGACACTACAAAAAAGTTCACAAGCCCAGAACAAATTATTTGTCAACTGACTATCGAATTCCCAATCGAAGCATCAAAGAACGAAGTTCATTGACTCAGCACGTGGTTGGGGATCCGTGCCTCGACTCTTTCAAAAGAAAGCTGGAACAACTGAGAGACCATCATTTCCAGGACTAACACAGACCATCAAGCATCCTGTCCTTTCCAAACTGAAACCGGTGAGGATGCCACAGGTATTTGAAGTTCGACAACGCTTTAACCAGTAACACCTTCTAATATGAAGCGTACCCACCAAGTGAAATCAAAAGACAGAAGCGAGGAGGTTAGAAGATAGATTTGATAGGCTATCAATATATCGAGGATCTACTAATCTAATCTGGCTAGCGATTGTAGGGGATGTTGAGCACGGCGTTCTCATTCGTGATCTGGTGCGTTTGCATGACTGACCGCCTTCAGCTAGGTCAGTCCATTAAAATGAATGTGATCAGCATCGAATGTCGAAGACTTATAGGGCTATTGATTTTGGAAATTTATTTTCCTCCACACTGAAACTGGAATGTTGGGATTCGCTGCCGGCTGAGCTAGTCCAAACGACTTCACAAGAGTCCTTTAAAAGAAACCTTGAAATATTCTTATGGACGAAGGACATATCCAACTATTATTAATAATCCTTTTTTCTCTTTTATCACTAATATACCTAGGTTCTTACCTGGTGACATCGGTGATCCACTGCTCCCAAATACGGAAGCCCGTTAAGCAAAAGCTACTTATATTCCATCCAGAACCATTTGAACCATTTAAAAATATTTGTAACAGGTTGCTGGTCGTGCCAAGCTAAGTTTGATGTTTGAATCTTACGTTATCGGATATTGGAACTAACTTAACAAGTGTGCTACAGCAGATTAGTCATGACTGTTGCTGTTCCGGGCGAAAGTGCTAGAGAGAAAGCACTAAGTTACTACAGACGTAAACTTGTGGAACATAGAGGAATAGATGCAAGGCTCAAGGAAGGTAATAATTACACCCCGTTATCACTCATAAACTAGCTCGAGAAAAATCCAAAGCGATTTCGAAAGAGTACGACAAAGCAGAGAATGATTTGAAAGCGCTCCAAAGTGTTGGTCAGGTATTTTATCTTGTTTTCTATTTAATCCGTGTTTGAAGATAGTAGGTGATGTTTTGAAGCAGCTGACTGATGATCACTGTAAGTTGCTTTCTGCTCTATATAGCTGCTAAACTCAATCTCCCTATTTTGGGGGAATTTCGTGAAAGCCGCTGTAAAAAGTTCTGGAGGAGTGACACAAAACCCCCAATTTTTCGGGGAAAACGGCCATTAGATTTTGGGAAAACCCCGAAAATTCCCCAAAACTGGGAGGTTGGGAATCATTTTCATGTTTCGTTTGTCATCACGATTCAGACTGTTTTCTATAATAATACATTTCCAAACGTTGAAAAATAGTGTGGCTAGTCGTAATATATATTTTCGTAGTATCGTAATCGGTTTTAGACATGACAGTGCTTCCAAGCTGTCTGTCAGACAGAAATGTGCTCAAAGCAATTTGAAACCCAATGGATAAACTCAAGGTAAACACTGTTACTCAACCACCTCTTCGTCTTCCCAAATCAGCAATATGACTAAATGAGTGTGTGCACACCATTTCTCTCCGTTGATAACAGTGAAAGCCGTCGCAGAACAGTGCGATGGTTTGGTCATGTCACCTAGGGAATTACCCCAGCCGTCAGCATACGAGTGATATTGTCTTGCTGTAGAGTAACGTTACCCAAGTAATACCCAGTCAGTCGACAATCGGCATTTATTAATATGCTACATAATCAACATTGAAAAAGACAGCATGTGGTTGAAGTCATCATCGATGATGAGTTCCAAAAAGATTCCCTGATTCCGAATATTTATATGAGCATTTGTACGAGCATCTCTCCATCGGATTTGTCGAACACAATCTTCCATAACTGAGAGTTTGCTGTTCCTGCTTCAGATGGTTATCTGCCAATTATTGGTTCCACTGCTATGTAAGTAATTGTTAGATTCAGAAATATTTGCATGTCCGAATTTACAGGCTTTACTGTCTTTTAACACCATTTCCATTTAACTTGAGACCCTTTTTACACATTCCTCTAGTGGATTGCGTTCCATAAACTATTCTTCGACTGAGTGAAAGAAACGATATCAGTTTGTGACGTATGGGGTTTTAATGAATGATAGTTCTGATAGGTTTACAGTTGGAGGTACATGTAACCTTGCATAGACCCATGAATACTATAGAACCCTGACCATAGCCCAAAATAAAAGCTACCAGTGGTCTTACCTACACTTTCTGTTTTGTTCTTCCTAAGTGGTAAGACGTACTTTTAGAAGATGAGACATACCATGGTTGTGTTCCCAGTTGGCTTGTGTCCTTTAATATTCGTTGCTCTTGCTTGTACCATATGATTATTTAATTCATGATGTTTTATAATACCTTTATTGCCACAGTGCTTTATATGGGAATCAACTTTAATGCTCTTTGGCAGCTAACATGTGTTACTAGTGTACTAATTATTAGAGCCAATGATAACTATCTACTAGATTTCTAAGCTTCGAAATGAATTGCTTCAATTCATCACAATGGCCATCAGGTTAAGTAAATGACCATATTCTTTATCAAAAAGACAAACTGTTAGAATGAGGAGAATAACTCTTAATAGTCTACTTCTTTCTTAAGTATGTGCTAATGTTTTCTGCAAAAATGATGGCCCCCAATTGCCTTGGTACGGCCGAGAGTGGGGAACAGCAGTGATATCTGCTAGTATGGTAAACCAGAAGGTTAGGGAGCAACACTGGATCTCAGCAGCATCTATCTCACTGATAGATGCTCGGAAACACATTCCACCGGGCTCTGAACATAATGAAGAGCGGAGTCAGCTTAAGCACAAGCTGACAAGAAGTCTACGCAATGATCGCGAACAGTGGTGGGTAGCGAAAGCAAGAGAGATGGAAAAGGCAGCGGCAATAGGTAATAGCAGACAATTGTTTAGACTCGTTAAGGAAACCGGAATTAGGAACCCGACCGTTAGCGAAACAATCTCAGAGAAAGATGGACATATTATTCATTCTCAATCCAGGAGATTGGATCGATGGGCAGAACACTTTAGGGATCAGTTCAACTGGCCTTCAGCCACACTTCGGTTTCCCACGATCTCCAGTCAACCTGAATGGCAAGTTAATGTAAGTCCTCCGTCCCTTTACGAAGTTGAAAAAGCCATAGGAAATCTGAAGCGAGGGAGAGCAGCAGGCCCTGACAGGTTTACTCCTGAGATTTTTAAGGATGGTGGTCCAGTATTAGCAATGAGATTAACCGGGGTCTTAGGTAGAATTTGGGGACTGGACGTAATCCCATCTGACTGGTCTCAATCACTGATTGTGCCAGTTTTTAAGAAAGGACAAAAGTCCTCTTGTGACAATCACAGAGGAATCAGTTTGACTAATATAGTGTCTAAAATATTAGCCTCAATAATACTTCGACGCCTAACTAAAGCTCGTGAAGAGCAGACTAGAGAAAACCAGGCTGGTTTTCGACCTGGACGTGGTTGTATAGATCAGATATTCACACTACGTCAGGTTCTAGAACACAGACACACATTCAGACGCCCCACAATGGTAGTATTTCTCGACCTTAAAGCGGCATTCGACTCTATTGATCGTGAGGTTCTATGGCAGTGTTTGTCACTGAAAGGAGTACCAAAGAAGTACATTAACCTTATAAAGGCTCTCTACTCGAACACAACTGGTAGAGTGAGAGCTTATTATAGCGAACTGTCATCAGAATTGATTACCTCAAGTGGTGTTCGTCAGGGCTGTCCACTCTCCCCATTCTTGTTCAACTTTGTGGTCGACGTACTTTTAGAGATAACACTCTCCTCATCTAAATTTCCAGGGGTTGAACTTCTACCAGGAGGTTCACTTGTTGACTTAGAATATGCTGATGACATAGTTTTATTTGGTGAAGACGCTGACAAAATGCAGAGTCTTCTGATCACTCTAAGCAACAATGCAAGCATGATCGGGATGCGATTCTCTCCCTCGAAATGCAAAATGTTGCTTCAGGATTGGGTTACATCGACACCCAAACTAGTGATAGGGAGTGAAGTAGTTGAGTGTGTCGACCGCTTCACTTATCTTGGAAGTCTCATCAGCCCTTGTGGTTTAGTGTGTGACGAAATCTCAGCACGGATACAGAAGGCTCGACTAGCTTTTGCCAACTTGCGTCATTTATGGCGTAGGCGAGATATCCGTCTATCAACCAAAGGACGTGTTTACTGTGCAGCAGTTCGTTCCGTCGTACTTTATGGCAGTGAAACATGGCCGGTAAGAGTAGAGGATATCCGTAGGTTACTAGTATTTGATCATAGGTGTCTTCGAAACATTGCTCATATATCATGGGACCATCGAGTAAGTAACACAGTTGTTAGGAAACGGGTACTAGGTGAGGATGGCAAATCAATTGATGAAGTAGTAAAACTTTATGGCTGGGACACGTGTTACGTATGCCCAACGACCGACTGCCTCGACGTGCTATGTTCATTGGTATAGGAGTAGGTTGGAAGAAAGCTAGGGGCGGCCAAACCAAAACATGGCACTAGTCCATGAAGTCACTGACAAGTGAACTGAGTCATGTTGGTAGGTGTAGACTACCTGGTTGGGGACCGCGAGATGACAGCAACCGATGGTTAGAGACCTTGAATGACATGGCTCAAAATCGTTTGCAATGGCGCAGGTGCATCCACTCTCTGTGTTCTCCCAAATTCTAATCTTCTGAATTCTTCATGTCCCTTTTTTCCTCTTTCCAAATTTCTTTCACTGGATTATACTCTTTAAATAACATCTCCAAACCCTAATCTTCCCGATTACTGCTTATACTCTTATTACCTCTACCACTACGGGATTTGAATCGACAAGTGCATCTCTGTGCTAATGTGGTGTGACAACTCGAACTGATGTACGTACGTACGAAGTTCTACGTTGTTACTGACTGACTGACGAGAGTGGGGAGCGTCCGTTCTCCCTCTCCAAATGCTCTCATATGGCCACGCGTATATAGCCTCTGCCAGGGAAGTCCTACTCATTGCCTTCTCGTGGCGGGGATGTTGTTTACGAAATTGAGAGGACAAAAAGTGAATGTCCGGTGCTTTGACCAGGTTGGTGGACACGGAGAGTCCACCTAGGGGAGTTGGAAAACCCTAATTCCAAACCAATGTTGTACATGGGCTCCAGTATCCTGAGCGGACAAATCGCGCATATGGCATCCGAACAATAAAAGCTCCAATATACAATTTAAAGTGCAATTTCAGTAGACCGAAATTGGTATTTCATTGGCTCGAATAATAAATGACAATTGTAAACCAAATCGGATTTTCAAGACTACTGGTGATCATATTGTTACTAAGAGCAGAGGAAAATGTGAAGGGCTGATAAATAACTAGAGTTACATTCTCGCTTTTAGAAGTACCCACGAAACTAATCCTTTACAACTAAGCGCATTGTAAAAGCTTGTATCCTGGATGGTGAATAAAAACTTACATGACCTCAAAGCCCAAAGTATATCTATCTGAGGTTATCATGCGCTGTAATTCTTGAAATGGTGGTAGTTTTAGGGTTCACATTTATTTATTTATTATTTATTTGGACACATGAATATTGGTATAAGAGAGCGCCAATATATATGCGCCACACAGAACAATGAATATTCGAAGAGGAATACAAAGAAAGAAAAAAAGAAGCTAAGGAGCACAAAAAAGGAGAGAACAATAACGAAGAGATTGGTGTAAGGTAATGTGCTAGTAATCAGGGAACACAAAGGTACAATCGGAAGAAATCTTTCAGGTAAGGGAGACACAACCACTGTTTATGACGAAAGTAAAAGAAGGTTACAGCAGGATCGCCACTGGCTTCTATTCTGAGCCATATCTGATAACGTCTCTAGCCACTGTGTAGCACCATCTCTCGGACCCCAACCAGGGAGTCGTGAAGGACCGACAGAAGCCAGTCCTTTGCAGCTTTCTTTCATACCACGACACCATGTCATGCACTGACCACCTCTCCGCTTCTTCCAACCAGTCCCAGAGTCGGCAAATAATGCACGACGTGGAATTCTCTGGGACGACATTCGGAGAACATGTCCAAGCCACCGAAGTCGGTGTTTCAAGATGGTGACACCAATTGAATTATCATCTCTGTGCCCGAACACACGATGCCGAACCTCTGCATTACTAACATGGTGTTGCCACTGGATGTCAGCAATCCTTCGGAGACAGCGATGATCGAACACAGAGAGTCGTCTAACGTCCTCAACTCGGAGAGGCCAGGTTTCACAAGCATAGAGCAAAACTGCTCTCACCGACGCGTTGTAAATCCGACCTTTTACAGCCAGACTAACATCACGAAGGCGCCAAAGATGGCCCAGATTGGCATAAGCCGCTCTGGCTTTCACTATACGTGCATTGATCTCATCACTCACACCCCCACCAGCACTTATGCAGCTACCCAGATACACGAACTTCTCGACTACGTCTATCTGCTCACCATCCAGGGTGAGTACAGGATTGGAATCCTGCCAGTCTTGTAGAAGTACTTTGCACTTGGAAGGTGCAAAGCACATACCATACCTACGGACACTGATTGTCAACTGATTAAGTGCGGATTGCATGCCTTGGGCATTATCGCACAGTAAGACAATATCGTCCGCATACTCAAGGTCGAGAAGTCTTTCTCCAGGCAACAGATCCACACCACCATTACTTACATTCATCGGAGCTGTTTCCAGAATGTCATCGATGGCAAAGTTGAAGAGGAATGGTGAGATTGGGCAACCCTGCCTAACCCCACTTCTCGAATGGAACAATGGAGAGAGGTGGTTGTATGCCCTCACTCTGCCTGAGGTGTTTGTATATAGGGCTTTTAGGATGTTAATAAACTTCTCAGGCACACCCTTCTTCAATAGACAATCCCAGAGAACAGTCCTGTCCAACGAATCGAAGGCAGCCCTGATGTCAAGAAACACTACGATCGTTGTCCTTTGATAAGAATGGCGATGTTCTAACATTTGGCAGAGGGTGAAGATATGATCAATACATCCTCGACCAGAACGAAACCCAGCCTGCTCCTCACGAGTCAATCTTTCTCGAGTTTTGAACAACCTACGAAGTATGACGGAAGCCAATAGCTTGGATGCAATCGGAAGTAGACTTATCCCCCGATAGTTGTTACAGGAACGACGTGAACCCTTTTTAAAGATAGGGACAACTATCGACTCATTCCATGACGTTGGTACACTCTCTAGTTCCCAAACCTTGGTAAACAACGTCGTCAATTCCTTAGTCAAAAAGTCACCACCATCTTTAAAAAGAGCCGGAGGTAAGTCATCTGGGCCAGGTGATTTGTAACGTTTCAAGAGTTGGAGTTCCTTGCGGACTTGAATTTATATAGTAAAAAGGATTCTAGTCTTGGAATAGTGTTTTTCTAACCTCCCACATTGCTCAGTCAACATGGACAGAGGTAGTTATCGCCCGATAGGGACACCTCACTATTATCACATTCCACCAGTCGCATTCTACAGTCGCCAGCATGACCCCTTGAATTGTGTCTCAATACTACTTGTTTTTTTTATTCTGACAGTAACCAGCTCCCTTGGTTTACAAACTAACCGTTTTAACCAACATTATTCGACCGATATTTTTAAAATAATCAATTGATATTTCTATCGTTGCTTGCACGTGTAAGCTGATTTCTTCTCATATAGGGAACTGGTATACGTCTATCAGTTCTATCAGAAGTACTGCGAAATATAGTCGATTTGGCAAATGTAAATCTCAGTCCATCATAGCTTTTTAGGGTTGGAAACTAGTCTCGAATAGATTTAAAAAGTTCAATGCGACCTTGTGAAAATTCAGGCTCTGAGTTACGCACTATTTTTATCTAGAAGCCTGGTAACTCAGTTTTAATTGGATGATGTGGGATTCACACCGATAACCTTGTTAAATGTCAGAGGCATAAATCATTATCAAAATGTAGTAGTAGAAGTTATTTTAAAGGTAAGTTTACTTTAATAGCTTACTTCATAGTACTATATTGTTGCACTAAACATTCATGCCATTTTCGACTTTGTCTGATGCATTCTATTAATAGAGGTTTATCTTTGTTTTCTAGTCATTGTTAAAGCTAGTAATGGGCCGCGATATGTTGTTGGCTGTCGACGCAGTTTACAAAGCAGTAAATTAAAGCCAGGCACTAGAGTTGCATTGGACATGACCACATTGACAATTATGCGCCAATTACCACGTGAAGTCGACCCACTAGTCCATAATATGTCTGCAGAAGACCCAGGTTCTGTATCTTATGCTTCCGTTGGTGGTCTGGCTGATCAAATTCGTGAACTCAGAGAAGTAATTGAACTCCCGCTTATGAATCCAGAATTGTTCCATAGAGTTGGTATAACCCCTCCCAAAGGATGCCTTCTTTATGGTCCACCGGGGACTGGGAAAACTCTTCTAGCACGTGCTGTAGCATCACAACTTGATGTTAACTTTCTAAAGGTATTTTGGATTCTCTACTATTGATTTGCACTGTGTACTATGATTAATACCAGTTATGTCACTACAATCAATTCGAACTGTGATCACATGGAGTTAACTGAATCTATTATTACTACTAATAATTTATTTTAAGTTACTCCTCTTTAAATGATGACTGAATTAAAACTATAGATACAGAACAAAATCACTTCACTGCAATTAAAGTTGGGTCACTGAGTATCAGTCAGCTACAACGTAGGACCAGCCACATATGTGCATTGATCCAAGTTGTCATACCACATTAGCACAACAAGATGAACACCGGATTCATAGTAGTTAATTCAGTGGTGGTAATATATAAAAGAAAGATTGAATGTAAGGACATAGTACAGGAAGAAAGAATTAGTACTTAGAAAGATATGAAGCGATTTTAATCTCATAGTTTAAGGGAAGACAGAGAGTGTATACACGGACGCCATTGTGATCGATTCTGAGCTATGTCACCCAGAGTCTCCAACCATTGGTTACAATGGTCGCGCGGACCCCAAACTAAGTAGTATGCATCTAACAACATAGCTCATACCAAAAGTTAGTGACTCTGTGGACTGATGCCCAACACCGGTTAGCATTGCACGTCGTGGTAGTCGGTGTTCAGGCATACGCAACACGTGGTCCATCCATCTTAGTCGACGAAAATTCACAACCTCATCAACTGATTTACCATCATTCCCTAATACCCTGCGTCTAACCTCACTATTACTTACCCGGTGATTCCAGCAGATGTGAGCATTATTTCTTAGGTATCTGTGGTCAAATACTAGTAGCTTACAAATATCTTCTACTCTTAATGACCACGTTTCGCAGCCATAAAGTAAAACAGAACGAACTGCCGCGCAGTATACTCGTCCCTTAATTGGCAGACGAATATCTCGTCTTCGCCATAGGTGACGTAAGTTGGCAAAAGCCAAATGAAATTTTCGAATCCGTGCTGAGATTTCTTCAGACACCAACCCATTAGGACTGATCATACTTCCAAGAAAAGTGGAGTTTTCAACGCGTTTGACTACTTCACTCCCTATTCTTAGTTCAGGCGTTGACGCAGACCAGTCCTGAAGCAACAACTTGCATTTAGAGGGGGAGAAACGAATCCCAAACATTCTGGCATTGTTGCTCAGTCACTGAGTATTGATGACTCAGAACGTTATTGATATTTAAAAAAGTTGCATAAAGTTAAGATTACAGAGACAATGGTTTTGACGTAGTTCGACTTTTAGGTTATCTAGTAACATAAACAATTATGTTGGTATAATACAAATGTTAGCTCACGTAATTATATTCTGTCGATAGAGACGTTTTATTTCGCCTGGAATTGTGGTAACCTAATTATAACTGATCAGCCAGCCTTAATCAACATCGGACCTAGCACAAATCTTCCTCAGCCCACTTTATCACACATCAGCACTGCGAAATAAGATGGAAAAGTAAATACTGAGGCATTACAAGTATCAATGATAGTGAGTAAGATTACACAGAATATGATTTGAGAAAAAATGAATTCCCGGAATAAAAAGCACAGAACAATTTTGAAGCTTAGAATCTGATGCTAGATAAGGTGTGAATGCATATATTTGCATTATTCCGGTCGAGTTTGATCAAGCTGTTCAATGTCTCCAACTATTGGTAACTATAATCATAAGAAATCCAACCATTTAGTTTCCATCACTGACTTTATCCATGAGTGTCGTTTCTTACGTTGGCCGCTCTTAGTTTCTGTCCAACTTACTACGGTAGTCGAAATTTCGCACCGGCAGTAATTAGTTAGTTAGCCATCGTTATCTATATTTGATATCGTCATGATTGTATTACACCACCACAGATGCACTCAGTCATCTTTCATTCAATTCTAAAAATAAAATTACCCCCAGTTTAATACGTTTCTTTTGGTTTTTCATCAATATTTATATGATTATTGTTTACTCCCTTGTTATCCTCTCGTTAGTTTAATTAAAGTATGATGTACACTTGTTATAAGTTATCTATTTATAAGTGTAAATAAGCTCAAAATCTAGGTCAAAGGATCTCTGGCGATAGTTTAGCATTATAGAACATACAGGACGTATTATGATTTTGTGCCATATATATTTAAGGGTAACCTTTTTTGGGTTGAGCTATTAAATTTTGACGAATGACCAACTTATAAGAGTAAAAATTCCGCCTCCAAATGCTCTGGTACGGCCGATATTGGGAAAAGTCAGCTCTCCTCGAAATGCTCTCACATGGTCATGTGCATACAACCACTGCCAGGGAATTCCTACTCACCACCTTCTCGTGGCAGGGGTGCTTACGAAATTGAGAGGACGAAAAGTGAGTGTCCGGTGCTTCAGCCGGGTTGGTGGATATGGAGGATCCACCTAGGGGAGTTAGAAAGTCATAATTCCAAACCAATGATGTGCATGGGCTCCAGGATCCTGAGGGAACAAATGGCGTACGAACCTATTGTTGGTCACCGGCTACCATGAAACTGCATCACCTTACGTTGCTCTACTGCCTTGTAGATTAGACCTCCAAGTCAAATGCTCGGGTTGTGGCCCCCTAAGAAAACGTGCTTCGGTTCGTGCACCCAGAGCAGTATCCCAGCCCTCATACAAATCAATTGGTTTATGTGACGCATACCTGTTTGGTGCTCCTTGTACCGATATTTGTGTTTAAATAAATAAATTATAAATACGAATCATTTCATTTTATAACACCCTACAGCTGAATGTCTTATATGAAAGTTTTCAAATTTGTGAACTCGTTTCAGATCATTTAAATGATTAATACAGTACTAAGCAGTAGATAATATGGAATAATACGACTTGATCAGTTAATACCTACTTATAAGACAACATTATTAACATTAAGCTTCCAAATAAACTTACCAAGACAATAGAGCTTGTCTGCAGAATAATTTTTTCCAACAAAATGCCATGCTTATATTCAGAATGTTACACATAAAAATGCAATTATCATTAGTCACTCAAGCCAGTGGAATTAGGATCTATCTACCAAGTTCTGTCATTACTCTTCTGTCGGGAAATACAATATTTCCGTGAAATTCGACCACAACCATCCTAAAAATTCTTAAATTCTTTATTGTTACATTTTTGCCTGCCTTCAGTATCTCAAGTCTCAAATTCTTGATGGGTCGTTCTCAAGGTTGCCACCAAATTCCCGGTTAATAGCCACACTTTTTCTACTATATACAAATTCTTCGACTAAAGCTGCAATAAAACTTCGTTTTTCCAATAGCTCAGAGCTTAGTTAGAGAGCTATTCATAGGACCATGCGCTTTTCCGTTGTCACTGTTTTTTTTGTAGTCCAGTTAATTCATAAGATTTCCTACACAATAGATTCACAAGTAATCTAACGGAAACTTCGTTTTTTTAAAAATTAAATCGTACACAGGTTGTATCCAGTGGTATTGTTGACAAATATATTGGTGAGTCAGCTCGTCTTATTCGAGAAATGTTCAATTATGCACGAGATCATCAACCCTGCATTATTTTTATGGATGAGATTGATGCAATCGGCGGTCGTCGTTTCACTGAAGGTACAAGTGCTGATCGTGAAATTCAACGTACTTTAATGGAATTATTAAATCAGATGGATGGTTTTGATGCACTTGGCCAGGTAACTATTAATATTTTCTGTTTCTGAAAAGCTGTTCATCTCTAATTTATTTTCTAAAGTATATATTACAAGGTTACTTTTTATCAGTTTATGTTAAAATCGTTGTATTCACTGGTAAATATGCATTGTTCTTAAGGGTGGGTTAAATGTTATTATTTCCTAGAGTAAGTATTAATTGAATTCTTCATGAATTACCGAAAAAATCCTTTGACCAACTTTAAAATGACATTGACTTCCTACGGAATTTGGTTTACCATTAAAAGTAAGAGGGCATTGAACGGCTGTTTTATCTTCTCATGAAATTCCTCAGCATTGTTGACTCGCTAACCTGTCAGTAATCAAACCCAGAAGCTTATGGAAAGCGCGTCACAGCTAGACGACCGAGTTAACATCTGATAGTGTACATTTCAAACTGCAGTCAATTCTCAATATTGCCATAGGTCATACTGTGGTGTTTGCTACTTATGTTTACAGATATAAGCAGTATGTAATACCAGTCTGAAGTAGAATGTCTGCGAGCAAAAGGTTGGGAAGATTGAAGTGAAGAAGAAAGAGAAGGAAACTGAGAGCAATCAAGATAACAACAGTAGTGAAGGAACAATGAAGCTTGTGAGAGACAATTCAGAGATGTGCAAATGATGTACTTGTTGTATGATTTTCACATTTTGCTAAACCACTGTGTGACTGTGCATTAAGAAAATAAATTAATCTTCCACACTTGACTTATACGTTCACTACAATACTTGTTTCGCTCTCGGTATAGTTAAACTTCACTGGTCACATATTCTCACTTTCATCATACTGGAGTGAAAAACAAAAGTCACCTACATATGTTAAATCCTCTGTCATAATTTCTTAGACATGAATTTCATGCTCTTTAGCACATATCGGTAAGAAGTATTTATAACTTAAAAAGCTTCAATATTGTTTGAGTTTTAAATCTCTTGTCAGTTTCATAGGCTGTTGTTGATTGACTAAGGATATGTTATAGTTACTAACTTCATCGACTAAAATACTGTAATGTTAACCATAAAGATGTATTACAAAATGTCGACTATCACTACGATCTAACTGAATTCGGTATGCTGCTTTATTTGTTTGTGCAATTCTATTTCATTTACGATCACAGGTTAAAATGATCATGGCAACTAATCGTCCGGATACCCTTGACCCGGCTCTACTTAGACCTGGACGTTTAGATCGTAAAATTGGTAAGCTTCTATCCTTTGTCATAATTTATTTTCTTAGAAATTCCTCTTCCTAATGAACAAGCTCGAATGGATGTACTAAAGATACATGCAGCTCCAATAGCCAAACATGGTGAAATAGGTAAAGTGTCATTTTCTTGATTTCTCGTTCTTGTATTGTTTATATTAATTCTCTATTTGTCAAATTATAAAAAATACTCTAGGTTATGCAATAAATACCTATATATTTCCTTATCCTTACTGTGCTTATAACTAGAGAGAGTTTTCTGATTGGTCACGAAATCGCTCAAGGTACTTTTGTCAATACCAGTTAATTATAAATAGTATAGTTATGATATACAAATTTCACAATGGGTATTACTCCAGGAGTATTAACATGGTACTTTTTGACTGCCATTCAAATATCACTGAGTTTAACCTCGGGACATGATAATTGTAAGTGAAATACCTAACCTATTGAAGTTAGTTGATTATCATAGTACGTTCTGATGGTCCATTGATATCAATTAGTGTTATCAATTTTGCTTTAATTTAACCAAGTCTGATTAGCTAATACGTGTAGATAACACTCAAAGACACAGAAGATTAGTTACTGTTATAACGCTCGGTTTTCTACGTCTACACGAATATCTACATTAGATTCCTTCCCAGTGTCTATTCTACAGGACTTCAACACAACTCAGATCAAGAACACGTGATTAGCCTAACTAGTACGTAAGTATATTTCCACACCAAAAAACTGACAACTAAATATATAACTCATCTAACGCCTGTCAAACCATTTACAAATCTGACTAAGCAAACAACCAATCATTATCTTTCTCGCTCACACAGTTACTGATTTACTAACTCAATTTAAACTTCTAGTCCATGGTTATTCTCCATACCTGTTTTAAGCAAATCTAACTTTACTGCATAAATCTTTAAATAAAAACGAAACCAAATTCAAAAATAATAATATGACGTCCATTTCACACAGCATCACATAAACACCGAATATAGAGTACTAGAATGTGCATCATGAAAACGAAAAACAAAAAAGGCTAGTGGCTAGCAATGGAATCGAGGACACGCGTTTCGTCCCATTTGGGACTCGTCGGCTGGATGTACTCCCATCCCAGAGTTGATGTTCACTCCTGGGTTCGAACTCATTACCGTTCACTTCGAACGCCATCGCGTTATCCACTTAGCTACTGAGTCCTTATAGCCACTTGCTTATACAATGAGGTTGAGTTTAAATTCACTTGGTGATGTTTTACTTGTATCTTCCCAGTGTTATTTAGGACTGTAATTGATCGATCTCATGTTCGCATATGCGCTTCCTGTGCAGATTGCCTCGATTTAGTCTTAAAAACAAAAAAATATTATCGAAAAACAAAATAAGGATAATCATATTCTAAAATTAGAAATAGGAAGTAGTGCAGAAATATAGTGCAAGTATAAACAAGAAATCAATTTAAGTTTTATTCAGTTAGTAGAGTGTATTGTATGACTATGAAAAGTATAATATAGATGTCAATGGCTTTGTACCAGATTAATAACATATTCTCTCTCTCGCAAACAATCTAGTAATTTTCCCTATTCATAATGATAATCTGCGGCCCGGATAGCTCAGTGATAACGTCTCCGACTGTGAAGCTGGGTGACACGGCGTCGAGTCCGCCAGGGAGCACCAGTTTCCTCATGATTACAGGTACACGTTGCTGACGAGTGCCAAGTAGCCCGAAACCCGAGTTCAGGGTTTCCTGTCGACTACCTCCAACCACCATCTAATGATAATCTGTTTTTATATACTTTATTTGAGGCAGTGATCAACTATTCAACATCTAAATTTCTTTATTGGTGAAATAAGTTAGTACTTTCAAGATTCTCATATTTTATCTAATTGAATATGAAGTAGATGGTGCTTGGTATTTGTGTGGTTGCGCCACAGGATTGAGTTGTACTATTCAGATTGTAGCGTTAAAGCCTGTACGGTGTCTGGTTCCTCTGCTAAACGGGGTTGAGCTGTACTGTTTGGGTTTTTACGTGAAAGTCTGGATGGTGTCTGGTTCTCCTGAAAACCAATGTAAAATTACCCTGGCCCACAAGGGTATATTATATAACTGTGAATATGACATAATTTGTGTATTGTAAAAACATGTGCAATGACATTACATCTACAATAATATTGTATAATATGAATTTACATATTTTGTTTGTTTACCAACTATTAACTTACTTAATTTATTCTATAGATTGGGAAGCAGTTGTTAAACTATCTGATGGATTCAATGGAGCTGATCTACGTAACGTTTGCACAGAAGCTGGTAAGTTTTATAGTAATTATGCTGTCGCTTACCTTTCTTAACAGTTTTTTGAATATACTAATTGTTATTTAGTAGGATCATTAGAGCTGATTTATTATAGTATTTAGTAAAGTATGAATAAAACAAAACCTTGTGTATTAGATAATGAATAAGGCAAATTTAACAGGATTTCAATTCGTATTCATCTTGAATTGATGAAGAACAGTTGCAGTCCAGATGGTTGCTTTTGATTTAATTGTGAAGCTTTCATCGTCATTATGAGAAAAATCTTCAGCGCTTATGTCATGTAGGATTCGTATTCACCCTACATTTAGTAAGGGGACACATTCAAAGCAGCTGACGAGAAACCTCGAAATATTATGGATTCATACTATTTTGCACCAATATTTGTTCTTGCTTTATTTAAATTCATAAAGGGAACCAATTGCATGAAATTTCCAATAGATGTGACTGCATACGATTTACAAATTATATATATTCGTGCATTTTATTCGGTTGCCCAACATACTGTCTCGCTCAAGTAGTCAGTTGTAGGATTGGAGCGTAGCACATCGTGTATTAGTATCAGTTTTCGGACATCACCCGTCACAACAACTAGAGTTGAGGTTATTCTCCATAATTTAATCCTGTAGACTCTACTTGCCATTATATGGGGGAAAATGTTTGGAGAAAGTCCAGATACCCACTACAAATTTCAAACTCTCAGACTACCTATTTATGTACAAATAATACGTCACTAATAAGTGTACACTGTACTTATCCCATCTTTCGTTTTGCTTATGATGACATTCTTCAAAATCCTGTTCTCCACTGTCTTCGAATGCTATATCGCGTATCTATTGTTGAGTTTAATTGATTAGCTCAACAATTCCTTACTTTTTTTAATAATTTTCAATTGTGTCAGTCTAACATAGTACCAGAGCTTTTATTTCTCAAATGTTATTTAACCTTCTTTTTTTGGTCAATATAGGTATGTTTGCTATACGTGCAGAGCGAGATTATACAATAGAAGAGGACTTTATGAAAGCTGTACGAAAAATAGCCGATGCTAAGAAATTAGAAACAAAATTAGACTATAAACCAGTCTAAATATAGGGATATATTATTTTGCATGCACATTGCTGACATATAAAAAAGGTTATTCAACAAGTATTGATTTTCAATAAAACAAACTTTGTTTTATTAATCAACCTATTAAAGTGTTTAACCAATAATTACTTGTATATTTCAGTTGTTATGTTTTATGTAATACAAGGTGAAATAGAAAATGTAATTTACTGGTCATAATTTCATTATTTTCGATCTAGATAGTGTAATCAAGTTGTATTGACTAATTAGGGCTTCGTCAGACAGTTTAAATGATATTTAATATACGTTCTTTTCAGCAGAATGTTCCTGTGGGAATGACTAAATTAGAATTGTGTGCAAATATCCCATCCAATGTTGTGCTGAACTGATATGCTCAATAGACACAATGACTAGTCAAGATTATATAATATCTTTAAAATTTGTAAAGATATAGTAAGCATTCAGAAGTACATCTACTGTTGCTGTAGTGTGTGCTACTTATGTCAACGTATGTAGTTGGTATTTTTGAAGCGATTACGAGTTCACCTAATCTGAGAACGGAACGAAGACTCTGTGATATAATGACATAAGCCAGCTATTCTGACGCGTCGCGTCTCAGCCTCGCTAACTAGAGAAAAAAGTCTAAGTTCGGAAAAGGGAAATATATTCCACAAGCAGCCAGAAGCACGAGCATTAAAAACAGGCACAAATCAAAGTATATATACAGCATATGATTGTCCTTGGGATGCGTTACAAAATAGCATACCAAAAAATACAACGAACTAATAGCGTTTAAGATCCTCCCAAGTGGGAAATACGACATGAAGGTAGAAATGAGCGCTTTTGGCGCGAAAACAATAAATCCAAAATTTTAAAATAAAATTACAAAAATAAGACATTTACCAAGTGAGTTCTGGGGATCTAACATCCTCAACAGTAGTATGTAACGCTAATCATGAATAGAATGTCTGCCAGAAGAAGGTTAAGAAAACGGGAACAGAAAACAATTAGTATGGAAATGCAGGAACAATGAAGTCTGAGACAATTAATGGACACTTTGCAAATGAAATATTGGAGTATGGTTTTTCTATTTTATCAAGTAACTGTAGTTTTGTGCTAAATATAATCGGTCCTCACCTGTGCTCATTACATTTGGTATCGCTGTCTTCAAGAATGAAGATTCCTTGCCGAATGAATTTGAGAACGGAGATGTGCTGAGCTTTATGAAGTAGTTTGAAGCCATGGTGGAGCTGATGGGAGTGAAGAAGCCTAAGGCGAAGATGGTGGTGTTGGGGACGCTGCTAAGGGGCAGGACGAAGGTTGTATATGACAGCTTGGGCGGTTCTGGCGGGAGAATGACACCGGAGACAGTCACAAAGCGGTTGATCCCGGAGATCGACAGCCCAGTGGACAGCGAAGAGGCACTGCAGAAGTTCCAGCTAGCGAAGTTGTCGATCGATTGTGACCCACTGGTGCTGGCTGTGGAGCTTACCAGGTTGTTGCACCGCGCGCTGCCGAATCTGGATGAGGAGTCGGAGGCACAGTTGTTGGCGTCGCAATTTATTAAGAACGTGCCGACCACCGTTTCCCAGCAGCTGAGACTAGTAAGCGCCGCACGACCTATGGATATCAGTGAACTGGCGGTGACCCGAACAGGAGCTCCGGTCGGGTGCGCAAAGCAGGAGATAAATAATGTCAAAAAGATTGAGGAGCTGCAGCTTGATGTTGCGGCAATACGAGTGAATCATAAAAGGAACGATAGATGTTAAGCTTGTGGAGGGACAGGACATTGGAAGATAAACTGCCTAATAAGACGCAGATATTTTAGACGTTATAACGTGTGTTCTTTCTACCCTAGGAATCTGGGGTTTGTTGCACTAGTAGATAGAGGGGGCAGTCTACACAGGAGCGAAAATAAATAAAGGAGATTGAGTGTGTTTGATCGATATAGGGGCAACGGTATCGTTAATAGGCAAAGAACAATGTAAGAGACTCAAGGCATGTACATTGGCAGTTTAGACCGTAAGAGGGCACATGTTAGGTGTTGGGTATGCCTAACAGCATCGTGAAAGTGGATGGTGCTGAGATAAATTCCTCGTTCGTAGTGACTAAAAGCCTATCGAGACCAATATTAGGAGCAGATTTCCTAAGAGAAGTAAAAGCAATAGTTGACTTAAGCGGTAGGATGGTCACAAAGTACGGTTTATTCCCAATACATGGAAGTAGCGAAGTGGCTAAGATAAGAGTGACAACAGACGTTTCAACGAAGGGACCAAACGTTAGCGAGTTCTGCACGAAGTACATGAAACTGCTCACTAGAGGCGGAGCCGTACGGATTTTGTGACAAAGTAAAGCACGAAATCCCAATAAAGAACAATCGAATAAATATATTTGCAACACGTCGTGTATTTAGAGGATGAGGTAAATCGACAGGTCCAGATGTTGAAAGGCATAACTGATAAAGCGAATACCCGTATAACTCTTGGTAAAGGAACCGAATGAAAAGTATGGGTTTTGTGTCGATTTTAGAGAACTGAAACCTTGTTCAATGTCTACAGTAGTGGAAACATTAGATTGGCTGCTAAATGATACGGTGTTCACAGTGCTGGATTTGCGGTCAGGTTATTGGCAACTGCCTACAATAAGAGAGCGAGCGAAACAAGATAGCATTTACTATAAGTGATGAACAGTATCAATTTAGACGAATGCCGATTGGGTTGGCGTGTGCCACGTTTACGTGCAGAAGATTAATTACGCTGCTGCTCAGGGATCTAGGTAACGTCGATGTGTATGGCGACGAAGTAGCTGTGTACAGCTATACAGAAACATCACGCCAAGCATGTGGAAGCGGTCTTAAAGCGAATTGAAGAAGAATTTGGACTTCGAATTAATAGGGGCAAGTCCCAGAGAGCGAAAAGTAGCGTCACGTTGTTGTAGCATAAAGTGAGAAATGGGGAAATAGAACCACAGCCGGAGAAAACCCTAACCATAAAGAACGTTGCAGTATCTAATTCAAAAAAGGAATTGAGAAAATTCCCGGGAAAGGTGGCATTCTACAGTCGGTCGTCAAGAACTTCAGTGACGTAGCAGCATCCCTATATAAGTTGTTGAGCAAGACAAAGTTTACATGAACTGAGGCCGCCCAACAAACGTTCGACCGAATCAAGAACAATGCCAGGTGACCCTCAGACTGCATGAACCCGAGAAACTGTTTACAGTGGCCACAGATGCAAGTGATCATGGTATAGGTGTCAACCCCTGCAGTAGCTAAAAACAGCAGGAGACCCACGTAGAAAGTTGGGGGGATGGATAGCACGTCTGTAGGAGTACGACTTCAGTATCGGGCATGTTCCAGGAAAGGAAAACTTAACGGCGGACTTCTTGTCCCTGTTTTGAAAGTGACGAGTTTAAAGCCCATCTTAAGCAGTTTGGCATCAAAAGGATACGAATCACACCATATCAACCTCAGACAAACGGGCTTACAGAAAGAAACAACCGGACGTTAAAAGAATGGTTAACCTCTAAAGGAGAAAATTGGGAGAGTTACCATTGATTTTGCTGGCACATAGTGCCTCTATACAAGGAACGACCAAGAAGTCACCTTCCCTGCTTATGTATGGTAGACAGCCACCAACTTCGATGCATAATAAGACCTGGCCACAACAAAAGTGGACGAGAGGAGGAGGGCAATAAGGAACGTGGAGAATAAACAAATATCAGACACAAACAAGGCGGGACAACAGAGAAAAACGTGGAAGCCTTTTGCAGTGAGGGAACTTGTAAAGTGTAGAGAACGGAAAGGTAACATAGAAGGGGGACCAGAGTCAGGAAAGCTGATCGTGAAGTGGGAAGGACCGTACATTGTCACGGAGAGACGTGGTTTGCTTTACACGACCCGGAGAGAAGACAAGCAGAAGCGCCTAAATGCCAGACAACTGCCGAGATGGTTTCAAGAGCATCATGAGTGCGAGTGAAGAACATCACCAAAGACAGTGGTGTAGCGATCAGGAAGATGCGAGAACAATGTGGTGTGTGCCAATTATGTCGAAATATGTATCATATAACGCTAGTCATGAATAGAATGTCTGCCAGAAGAAGGTTAAGAGAACAGGAACAGAAAACAATTAGTATGGAAATACAGGAACAATGTAGTCTGAGACAATTAATAGACATTTTGCAAATGAAGTATTGGAGTATGGTTTTTCTATTTTACCAAGTACCTCTGTAGTTTTGTGCTAAATATAATCGGTTGTCCTCACCTGTGTTCCCCTTCACTACACTGCTACTGATGGTAGTAGCTTGAGGGACCGTCTTATTTAAGATAGCATTATTAGGCCCGACATTGTTATTGTGATGTAGCAACCTCATTTATTTGACAATTGTTCCTATTGGTTTCATCACTTTAAGAAACACTACAAATGATAAGATTTAGCTGATCGTTTTTGAGATATATAAGCGCTGAAATTTGGTGATGTACTAATCGTTTAAACTTTCTACTCACATTAGATCTGATCTCAATATTTTTCGACTCATCAATTGAAATAATTCAGCTTAAGAATAACAGATATCCGATCAATGACTATGTCGTGACTACACAGGCATCTTTGATAAACAAGTAAATCAGCATCAAAACTGTATTTCATTACAAGCTATACTCTATGATAGGTTTGTGTTATATGGTCGAAAGGAATCACAATTTGCAAACAAATCATAGCACATTATAAACTTGAAATAATTGATAATCATTTTAGCGCAACTCAATTTTCAAGGCTATCATCAACTGAGCCTATTATCACGTAAATTATACGCGATTAAACTTATTGAAACATTGACTTAGTTAGTTTGAAAAATAATCTACCAACTTTCAAAACATTTAGAAGAGATATTTCAAGTAAATACTGTTATTATACATTAATGATAATCTATTTACATTGTCGTATATGTTTATAATATTAGTTATTTTATTAGAGTTGAATAAAATTAGAAAATACGTAGTTTTTTCTCTTTCATTTGTTTATTTTGCATATTTACAATAGTTCGTTCATTCTCTTTTAATTGTATCAATTGTGATTGTAAATCATTAACTAGTTGTTGTGCTTGTTTAACTGCTAAACGATCTCGTCCTTCATTTCTTCTCATTGAATCTTGAGCTTTAGAAATTTGATTATGTAATCGATTGATTTGTTCATATGTATGAAATAGTTTACGTTTCAGAATACTTTCATTACAATTTGTAAGAGAATTCTGAGATGTTACGGTACTCTTTGTATTATAATTGTTATTACTATTAGGGTGTTTTGGATTTTGGTCATTGTTACTGGATGTCGAAGATAATGCCATATTAATTAGTTTAAAAACGCTTCCACTATGAGAAACATGGTTTTTTGATGTTTTACTTGACATTTCTATTGTTTTATCACGGCATTTAATATTTTTCACACGTTTTCGAGATAACACAACATTGTCTAGTGAAGGTCGATGATTCCACTTGACATTATGCACTTGATACTTTTCAAGGTTAGTGCATACAGGAGATTGACGACCTTGGTGACAGCGACCAAGTCCACCGTAACCTGGATAACCCATACTTGCTAATAAACGAGAGCCTATTCCTCGAGTATGTGCTTCCCAGTCACCAATGGAACTCTGTTTGTCTTCTTTATTAACATTCGGATATTCCTTACCGGTGTCTAAATTTGGTCGCTGGTCCGGTAAAAGCGTATTACCGAAGACAAATTGAACCCGAAAACGACGTTTATCATACTAGAAAAAAAATCACGAAGAGGCTTTTTTACAACTAGAAAATATAACTCATATTAAATATGAAGAATATTATTTACAATATGGTTTTCTGTTACATAACGAATATCCTATATTATCAGAATGGGTTTTGTGGAGATTTTTAGAAATTTCACAAGTTGAAATCATGAGCCAATTGAAGCTAGACCACCATGGAAAACCTGGAAGCACTGGACGGCCGTTTCGTCCTAGTATGGGACTCCTCAGCGGTGCGCATCCACGAACCCGCCCCCCGCGGGATTCGAACCCAGTACCTACTGGCTTCGCGCGCGAGCACTTAACCATTAGACCACTGAGCCGGCATCCAACGGTGTTAATGTCTAACTTCAACCAATCCAAGAAGTTGCGCCACCGTACACCATTGTCTTCAGTGAGTTTTTATCTCACAACAGACCTGGTTGAACTCCACTGGTAACGACTTATGAGATAGGAACTCACTGAAGACAATGGTGTACGGTGGCGCAACTTCTTGGATTGGTCGAAGTTAGACATTAACACCGTTGGATGCCGGCTCAGTGGTCTAATGGTTAAGTGCTCGCGCGCGAAGCCAGTAGAACCTGGGTTCGAATCCCGCGGGGGGCGGGTTCGTGGGTGTGCACTGCTGAGGAGTCCCATACTAGGACGAAACGGCCGTCCAGTGCTTCCAGGTTTTCCATGGTGGTCTAGCTTCAATTGGCTCATGATTTCAACTTGTGGAATATCCTATATTCTTGATGAGCATGCTTCACACTCATAAAGTAGGACGGAGCAAACTGCTGTACATTATACTCGTTCTTTAGTAGGCAGACGGATATCTCACCTACAATACAAGTGATGCAAGTTGGCAAAAGCCAATCGAGTGATTGTTTCATGTCCGCTTCAAATTTTCAGATACATGAAAACTTCACCGCAGTCTATACTACCTTTAGCGTGAAAGCCAATTTATAGTCAATGTCATGTCCATACGTAAACAACTACAATTTCAAGTACTAGAAAAAGGTCTAGAGATATAAAATGCAAAAAAACATATCAACAAACCTGCGAACATGATTGCGATTCAGTCGTCTGTCCACTATTGATCAGTTCGATGGAAGGCCGAGTATACGAAGTAGTAAGATCCAAATAATCCCTGGAATCTCCCGAATTAGTAGTTGATGATGAAATATCACTAACTACAGAAACATCAGAGTCAATATCGTCATCATTTTCTAATATATGGATACATTCTAGTGGCAAACTAGTTACTTTATCCTCCAAGTTTCCGTACGATTGACGCTTCACTGAATTCTTATCAGGTTGGCTTTTACCATGACCCCACTCAACAACACAAGTGCCTGATTCAAAATCCGTTTGAAGAAGCCTTGCATAATGCCATAAAGAATTGTGATCACTTTTACGGTCATTAGCTAGACATGGTTGCCCTTCATGTAGATATTTTTCTGTGTCTGGTTCATACCATTCTCCAATATCCTTTGAGAAGAAAAACCATAATACATGATTACTTCAGATTTGCATAGTTACAAAACTTCATATTTTGTGCGCATTAAGTAGCTGTAACAAAATTAGATGACACACATTTACTACGTGATTTAAAACGTTAATAAAGAAATCACAAATACAGTTTTATGGTATCAAATTAATTTGAAAAGACAGGATCCCTAATTGATCATCGCACTTCTAAATATGGCAAGTTGTGCGGGGTTTATGGTTTGATGCAGAGGCAGAAAAATACAATATACACTACAAACATTTATATCGCTAAAATTAATACAATTACAGAGAATGTAGATGTAGCTTTGTAATATATTTCTCTGATCCGTCAGTTAATCATATCTACCATTTTTAAATAATTAATAAATCAAGTAATCGAAAGAATAATAGTGTCTTAATTATATCTGAACTGTTCATACCAACCTAACTTGAGATCATTATTCCGGTACATTCGAATAGGAATGTACACTGAAATTAACTAGAAATGAACCAATAGGGAGTTCCGGAAATAGATTTATTGATGAATGATTAATTAATACATATTAGTAACTAAACACAGGTTTATGTACTCGGCTTTGACCCATACTGTGTGTGTAATGGTCAATGATATCAACCAATAGCCTAAGTAGACTAAGATTCAAACTCGGGACTTATCGTTTAAGAGTCAAGTCCTCTTAGAACTAAGCCATAGCTCAAAGTGTGATTTCTATTAACTAATTACAATGAGTATCATGCAAACAAGTAGACACAACTTAGGAACTTTTAAAGTTGCAGAGTACATTGTGCAAAACGGATAAACCATAAATTCGACACAAATACACCTAGGGTTAGTGACTAAAGATTGTCGAAAATAGGATTGAAATCATGAAAATCAAGTACATAATTTAAAAAACTAAAATTATTCTAACGTCAATCGAATATAGTGTCAAATGGGAATCAAACGCGTAACTTATCAAAAAAGTGCAATGATAACGCTTTATTTACTCACTTCAATGTTGAAAATCTTTCCATGAGAGCGAGTACAACGTATACCCCGATGACAGGTTCCAGTCTCAAAAAATCTTTCACAAGGTATTTCATTAAGACGTGTTGGATGAGCCAATAGTACTCGTACTCGATCTGGGCTGTCTCCATCATGACCCACAACTGAAAGGATTAGCGCATTTTGTCGAATAAATTTCCCAGATGAAGTCCATCCAGGAACACTGCAACGTTGTCCGACTAAAGACTCTTCATTAATTGTTGATGAATCTGTCTGAAGTGACGTTCCTTGTAATTCATCATCTTTCTCTTGATTATCAGTAAGTATAGATCCAATTTCAGCTAAAAGTTGTGCTTTTCTACTATTCAAAAGCTCATTTTCTTTCAATTCAATCAACTCTTCCAAGTCTTTTTTTAGATTTAATAAATCAGAACACTTTAATTGATCATTTTCTTCTACAAGGCAGGTATTTATCTGATTAAGTGTTAGCTTCAGATTTTCAATCTCTTGTGATATTCCAGTGACTGACTGTAAAAAAATAATGCTATTCCAAAGTACATAATAATGAAATGATGATATATATATATATATATATATATATATATATATACAGGAACGCTAACACATGTGAGTTGTTCATCTATATGTGAATAAAATAGTACATTGAAATTGTACTCAAATAAATACAAATTTCCTTCTAGTAAACTTCAAGTCATTGCTTTAAGAATGTTAATGTTACTATTCAGCTGAATAAATCAAAGACAAGTTCATAATTCTGTAAATGGTTAGTGAGTTACATCATATGAAAGATTACTGAAGTGATTAGGACTGAACGAATATACATCCTATGTCATAATTAACGTGAAAACTTACAAGTGCTTGAAATACTGCAATAAGCAATTTGAAAAGTTTTCTTGAATGTACTAATATTGACGTATAACTGTTATCAAGTGATAAATTAAATGAAATCTATACAACTCAACTTCTTAATCATATATATATATATATATATATATAATAGTATTACTCTATGATAACGGTACTGTTGGTATGATAAACGATTTATAAATGCTAATAACTCAATACTAACTAGATAGAATCATTGGTGAAATGATTTATTTCACAATAATATTGTATAATGAATTTTCGACTAGATAATCAAACATCCAATCACAAGTCATATAATATAATTTTACTTCTGTTCGTTATTTAACAACTGAACAATCACTAATTATTTCATTGAATCGTATGAAGAGAGATATACACATATTTACTGGAATATTATTACTATAGTAATTGAATTTTCTTTTTTATTACTATTATCGAAATCAATCATGAACCTAACAGATATTTGATCATCTTAGAACATAATTGGATGATCGACAAGGTCATCTTAGTAAATGATATGCATGCACGTACAAATAGTATAATAGAGAGAAAGAGAGAGATAGGCCACAAAAAACTTATGCAGGATAAAAGTAATAACAATAATAATATAAACGAGAAATCAAAAACTACACATGATATAGTAAATAATTTATCTATTAAACACAAAACAGATTACAGTGTTAGATTAAAGGTGATAGTAATAATAATTATCATTATCACTATCATAATAATAGTATATACACATACATAGTTATATGAACAATAGAAATAAACGCATCAATGAAATAATACTATTTGTTGTACATAAATATATTTATATATACATAGAAGAGAATGTAGACAGTACTAACGAATGCAAACTACCATACATAGATACAAACAAATTCAATTATTGTTTCTATTAATTTCATTAACATTATCGAATATAATAGAAGAATATGAACTTTGTATATGCACACACATACATAAAAGTGATGAAAAATTAGATGTAAGAAGAAATATGAGTAGATAGTGATTAGTTATATAAGTAGATAGAAAAATAACATTCAATCAATTTATACAATACAATAGTGAATAGAAAGAAAATCCTTAATAAAAAAAATTAACAAATAGAATATTATTTATACACAAAAACACTAAACTTCAGTGATGAGAAAAGAAGAATAATAGTAATTTATATATAAACATTTATATGACACTTTGAAAATTCTCATTGTAATGTTATATATATATATATATATATATATATATATATATATATATATATATATATATATATATATGTAAAATATAAAATGCTGCATGGTAGTGCATAACGTACATACACAACACTGTACAACTTTATTTATCATTGGATATTGGTGTTTGAAATATATATCTAAAAATTGGCAAAAAAAAGAAACAATGAATAAAATAAATGAATTATAGGAAATAAAAGTCTATGCATTGTGTTATGAAGTAATAAGGGGTAAGATGAAGAAAAAAAACATTTAGATTACTGAGAGATGAATTCGAGAGAAAACTCTCTTTTTTTAAATATATATATATATACCAACTCCTTCTGGAACCCTCTGAGGCTGCTACCGGTCTCAAGCCACTCTGGCGCACTTTGGGTAAAGGAGGAGGGTTGATTATGAGGTTAACGACCCCACCTCGTAGGAAACTAACTCGCTAAAAAAAGGCTAACCAGGGAAAAAAATAATTCGAACCATTTAAAATCTGCCCTGGGAATTAGAAAGTCTTCATTTAGAAGAGTTATAACGCCTAATGGTGAAAGCCGAGTTCCTTCGGAAGTCATCAGGCTGATGCCTTTTCTGACAACCAAAACAACCAATAATTTAGGTACATGGAATGCTCGTACAATGTAGGAGACCGGGAGAATCTTCCAAATAGCTGCAGAAATAAATAACCTTGTGAACAACAATACAAGTTCACTATTAACTATCTTATGTATATACGAAATCTTAAAACTAATATATTTCAAATGTAACTGTCAACTTGATGTGATTAATGGGTTTCCTTATTATCATAAATATATATATCATATTGTTGACTAGAACAATTGTTTTGTTGATTGGAGACTAGTGTAATAAGACAGAAAACTTACGGTACTATATAGAGTATAGACGTACTCATTATTGATTGACATTGAGATTTTTTAAACAAAATTCTCCAACAATACAACCTTTTCAAAAATGGATTAAGAGGTAAGGAAATGTAAGCCTGGAAACATTACAATCTTTTTGTTATCGATTCACAATGAAGACAGATGGGCTTACAAGGGCATGGATAATACAAAAATAACAACAACAAAGGCGAGACTCTAATTTGTGGACGACTTTTAAGTGACCTTGAGCGTATTGGCCAATCAGCGAACAGTAAGTATGGAGTAAAAATATATTATACAAAACCAAGGAAATATAGTGGATACACTTCTTATACGTGGTTCAAAAGCTTGCCAAGGTTAGAAAGAGGTTCAGAGGTTCTGAAGTCGCAATGCATGCAGTAGAGGAAATCATCCAAACGACCACAGGATAGTCGGTCTCCGGAGCCATGATAAAGTCTCAAAAACTCTCAACCTCGATAACTTAGTTTTAATATTGTTTATATGCACTTCGGTTGTTGAGTACACAAAATGCTACTTGTCGATAACGACACGATGCACATAACCAAACTATGTAGGAGTCTGTAGGTTCTCCAATCATCCTTATATAATGTAGTACCTGGCTGCAGCCAGTGTTACTGGTACTTTTATTATCCAGTTCGCGATAGTTGTCAGTTAGGAATTATATATGGGGGTTTTCATCACAAACTGACATCACCTATAATGCCAGAAATCTATTTAGCCAAATGGATGAAAGGCTTTCCTGCCCAAATCCGAGATCTGTTATCTTATATCTGATTGATTCGTCCACAAATTATAGTCTCGCCGTTTTATTCGTTATAGCTGCTCAATTATTACGTTTTGTACAAAATTCCTTGTGAACCCATCGTACGTTAGCACTAAGCACTGATTTTTCACAAGAGTAAAACCGTGACGGTTGGCGCCGTAACCTTGAAATCCTTCAAACGCCTCTGACTGGCTCGTCCATAAATTAGAGTCTCGCCACAACAAAAAAGACAAATTCGAAAAAATGTCGTGTCATCTGTCTCAATTATTTGAACTTAGAATTTGTTGGTCACGATTTAGAGTTTTGCGGTCACTAATACACAGCAAGTGTTTTTTTTTAAATTTCAGAACCGGGAAGTGAAGACAGTCCGAGGATTTGTATACAGGCTGCCAGAAAATAGTGATCTAAATTCGATCAAGACAGTAAGTTAATCAATGATCATCAGTAAAATTAATTAGGTAGTAATGTGTGGGTTTAGTGACCGGTTGCAATAGGATTGCATTTCCTGATGTCGTTACATTTTCTTTCAGATTAGATATCAAGACTATGAGGGCTCGGTGAACAGTATAGTGTCTCTTACATAAATCATTTTAAATATAAACTTAAAAATATCATTATCAAACGATTCAGCTTTTGATTGTATACTGAGACACATATCATATGTTGTAATTTTAATGGATTTCAAAAAGAACTAATGAAATACATTTTAAGTACTAAATATGGAAAGAAAACATACCTGGAAATTCATAACTACCGAATTACGGAATAGTTACTGGTTCCACCATTACATATATTTCCTTGAGAACTCGTTCCTGGACAGCTGTTTGGTGAATTTTTAATTAGGGAAGTTAGTGATTTCGAGCCTCTAGTGATTGCAACGTTATTTCGACGTCGAACTTGTCGGACTATAGGATTATGGGTCGGATACCTTCGTGAGGATCTTCGTAAGGTAATTGGAGTAGATAAGGTGTTGGAATCCAAATTGGTTTTCGATGATGATGGAGACAATGATTTACTAGAGCTGTTGGGACTATCTTCTAGCTCTTCAATTAGATTATGAATTCCAGGACTGAAATGATGTACTAAATTTTTGGTGACCGAACTTATCCTCTGAATAGAGTCCAATAGGTATTTTTTACGTTGAGAAATCCCTTTGATCAATTCAATAGCTACATTAAACTGACTAGCCATCTCGGATTCATCTGATTTTAATCCAGACTCTATAGATTTTGCTGTTTCACTAACACCTTGAGATACACTAAGAAGTGATGATGTAACACTCTGAGTAGAAATGCAATGTAGCTGGTCAGTTAAATCGGTCTCCATATTCTTTATGGTTTCTAGTGTTTGCAACTCTGTGTATGCCTAAAACCACGGAAACGGAATCTCTATTAGCAAAAAAGATTAAGAAAACTTGGCTTCAATTGATATGCAAGAAATGTCACTCCCAAACTAACATACAGACATAAGGAAAGGTTATCTAACTGTGTATGGATACTAAAGATGCGACTTATATATATCTTAAATGAAACTATGTCTCGAGCGAAAAAAAAGAGTTAAGGAGAGAAGTGGTGAGATTTATTTCGTTTATTTTGGTTATTAGATATGAATACTAGGCTGATTCCATCGATATTGAGGACTTAATAGATAGACATTGACGAATGACGATTATGTGAAGAATATGTTAAGCAAACCAGATTGGGTAAAAACTTCATTTAAAATACATCTTTGTGTGACCGACACGCTCAACTACTTCAACCCCTCATGGGTGGTCCTGAGGTACTATTTAGAGTTAGAGAAATCCATCCAGAATATTTTGGATCACTTAAACTGCGCAGATGACAAAATATTTTGGATCATGTAATGATGGACATAGCATTTATAACTGACTTAGAACTTAGATAGTTTTATCTCAAACACATCATCGACTTAATCGTCCTTGAACGCAGTTCGAAGAGATTTTATAGCTACATTTTTCTGCGAACAGTAGGATATAAACAAAAAGGTTACTTTCAGTATGGTATAAAATTTGCAAACAAAAGTATCATCTTATCCTATCAATTAATAAACATTAAGAATGACAGAACTTGGAACAACTTTAAATGGTGTAAACAGCAGAGACAATGATTGGAAGTAGAAAATTTTACGTGTTGAGCTACGAGCGAAAGCCACTGGTAGATTTAGATTCAAATTAATAGGTTACCTTATGAACTATTGAAGTATATACTTCTACACAAAAAAAGCTGATTTGTCTGACAAACATTTCAAGACGAATTATAAAATCAAGACTTTCAATGATAACACTTACTAATAAATCCAAATTGTCAGCACAACGAAGAACACGCCAACCTGTAATATCCAGCACTGATGTAGTGGTCAAAGGAAATCTAACAAAACCAGAATCTTCTTGCTCAGCGCGTACCGCTAAAATATCTTGCACTAAACGTTTCGCTTCATTTGACTCAGAATTAGAATTCAAACTATTCATATCTCTCTCTCCTTTACTCTGAATGTCAGATTCGGAGTGTGACATATTCGTGCCAGTAACCAAAGAACGACGTCTGCGGCGAGTATTCTGCACACCACGTCGTGAAGAATCATCAGGATTGGCAGACTTGTGTTGTGGTCTTGTGCATATTTCAGAAAGACTAGAATATATGATAAAGACAAGTTTATAATTCAAAAGATATGAAGGCAGAAAAAATTATTCATAAACAATATTTTTAAAAATTCAATATGCGTGCTTTGGAAATTAGTCTCGTACTATCAATATTAAAGAAAGCCTCCCGCTCACTCATGAAATCCTGACAAGAAAAAGTTAAGTACACGCTTGGAAAAACATGCTGTCTACCAAAAACCTTAAATGAAAATTTTCGACAGATAAAAAGTGTAGAGTTTGTAACAGTTTACATTGACTTACTACATATCAGTATATCGAAAGGAAACCAACAGTAGCAAAAAACAAAGCGAAAGAGTAATGGCAGCAGTAGTGAAGAACCACAGTAAAAACGAAATGGACGAGACAAATGGAAACTGGAAACGTAGGATGTAGAATAATGTGGTGTTTAGGACGTAGAGTAAAATGATTTAATACCATATCCTTGCAATTCCCAGCCATAAAACCTGCACCTCCTCGTATACAGTGACTTCCAAACCCTAAGGTGGAATCCTCAAGGCAAAAGGAAATGAAGTGGACATCAAAAGAATGAATAGCACTTGGAAGCAACTGGATAGGTGAATCCCGGTCTGTGGTTTATATCCCACGAGGGGTAATAAGCGTAAGAAAGTAGAGTAAATCTTCATGAACTGACATATTTATGCCATTCTGAACGCCACTAAATTTTCATTCACCCCTTCTATGTAAGCCTGCACATGACGTGATGACTAAATATAAAAAATAAATGCCCTACTCATAATAGTCAATGAACAATTACATCCCTATTAGTTAACATTCAACTTTAGGTTACACTAAACTCGGCATAAGTATTCTTCATTGGGTGGTTTCATTATATGTGAGCAATAATTTTGAAGACAATCAGCCTAATGTGAAATGTAATACTTTGCACCAATAGACAATTATTCTAAGGCCCATGTGGTTTAAAATTAACTAAGTGACTAGTAACTTCAAAAATTCTGACCACTTACTCAAAGATGATCATCAAAGAAAATAAGGGTGTAGTTGTACTCCTGAATTTGATTAAGATTTAGTCTTCAAACATCAACCGATATTTTTACATCTATGACCCCTACGTACGTACGTTAGATCGAGTTGCCATACCACATTAGCACAGAGATGCACTTGTCGATTCAAATCCCGTAGTGGTAGAGGTAGTAAAAGTATAAACAGTAGTCGGAAAGATTAGGGTTTGAAGATGTTATTCAAAGAGTATAATCCAGTGAAATAAATTTCGAAAGAGAAAAAAAGGGATATGAAGAATTCGGAAGATTAGAATTTGGGAGAACACAAAGAGTGGATGCACCTGCACCACTGCAAACGATTTTCAGCCTTGTCATTCAAGGTCTCTAACCATCGCTTGTTATCGTCTCGCGGATCCCAACCAGGTAGTCTACACCTACCAACGTGGCTTAGTCCACTTGTCAGTGACTTCCTGCATTTGTGCCATGTTTTGGTCTGGCCACCCCTAGCTTTCGTCCAACCTACTCCCCTACACCATAAAACATTGCACCTCGGGGCAGTCGGTGGTTGGGTATACGTAACACGTGTCCCAGCCATCTCAACCAATGAAGTTTCACTACTTCGTCAATTGATTTGCCATCTTTACCTAGTACCTGTTTCCCAACAACTACATTACTTACTTGGTGGTCCCAGCATATACGAGCAATGCTTCGAAAACATCTATGAGTTAAGATATAAAAATGTTATAATTATTAGTTGATAGAATTTTATGGCTCCCGAAGCTTCAAGGAGTGAAGGAAAATTGAAATTTGTGACTTGAATATAACATTTGAACTTTTATACAATTATCAAACGAATTTAAAAATCCACATCGTCTATCACGACACACATTTTTGGTGGACGATCTATTAGAGGAACTCTTATACATAAAAAATAACAGTATTATCAAAACACGAAAATATAGGATATCAAGCAATTAAAACTCACCTGAGAAAGTGAGAGCTCTTAGAACGACAAGGAACACTCAACCTACTATTTGACAATCCGCACTTTGGATTGATTAAAGGCCTTGGAGGTCTTCCATTAAGTATCCATTCACGACCATCAACAGGGTCTACAGTCCATAATATACCAGCTTTTGATAGTTTATTGCTATTGTGAAGATCACTTTTAATGGTAATCTCATCAGCCTTTTGACATTCATTTGGTTCCTGTTCACCTTTAATTTTCTTACGTGGTATATTGTGAATAGGTACGGTCAACTGTTTTTCGTTTAAAATTTTACTATCACAATCAGTGAAGTCATTGTTAAGGTCAGAATTATCTCTGCTGGTAGTAGGATAAAAGCAAGTGTGTTTTTCATTTGAATTCAAGTAGCTCCCAACATTAATTTGTTTTGAATCATCTATGTTATTATGTGACCATGAATTTGAAAGAGATAACTCAGAATGGGTTGAACTTGAATCAGACTTCTTCAGATCTGTATTATTCATATGGCTAACATCAGCCGTTGATTCATTTTGAGATTGTTTCAAGGATGAAACTAGGTGATGTAAAAGAGGATTCGATTCAGAAGCACATCGGAGTGGTTTACTAGTCGGATTAATAAACTTTGAATCTTCGGAAACTGACTTAGAAACCTAGAAAAGATATTTCACAAATTTAGTAGGTTCATTCCACACAAGTTTTACGAAAGTACAATGTCGTAAAGCATTCTATTTTATCAGGTATATCAGTCCCTGTAAACCTTATTGTATTCTTGCAAACAACAAATATACAAAAGAACTTTGGATATTGATAATATTCTGAAATTTATTTTGTTAAAGTACCAACACGCACATAACTTTTAGGTCATTAAAAATACCTGAGTTTTAGTTCAACTTACATCGGATATTGAATGTAGGCTAGTTGAAAGAATATTATGATTAACAACTTGCAAACTTTTAGATTCTTGGTTTTCAGCCATGACAGTAGGACTAATATTTGGTTGTGGAGATCTAAATCGTACCTGAAGAACACCGTTTGTTGATCCAGAAACTACAACTGGACTGATGATACTGGAAGCAGAACATGCTGACTCACTTCCTGAATTAGAGTTCGACGAAGTAACAGTAGTAGTGCTTAGAATCGGATAAACAGAGGTGGTTAAAACATACACCGCAGCGGCCTGTGTTTGATGAATATCCGAAGACTGTGAGCAATGTGAATTGGTTATACGAAGGTGTCCACCAGAAGATACGATCTGTGATGGAGATGTGACCATAATCACTGAATTATCACCTGTACTCCCACGGGTCCCAAGACTCCCAGTAGATGACTGAAAACAGGTAGTATTTAGTAAAATAGAACTGTTATTGGGAACAGAAGTAGTTGGAGTAGAACGTACCGACACTAAACGTATACCCATAAGTCCGCTGTTGGATGGACTGACGTTAGTTGCACAGCTGACGGAAATGGTTGCTGATGTATTCTGTAAAAAAATTAATGGACAACTTTCTGATTAGTTTGTATAGAAACCAATTGAAAACATCATAGGAAATAGTTGTGACCGCTTCGTCCAAAATGTGATGTTTACAAAGAGTAAAAAATCAGTAGGAATTTGAATGAGGGAAGTGGATATTGTCGGGAGAACGTAAAGAAATGTGTCTGAATTTCCCCAAATGAACAATAAGCTATAAATCTGTAGACGACTAGTTCAAAAACATTCAACTCGACAAGTTAAATTGTCATACTAAATAATGAATGTGGATAAATTTATTAATCACCTAATTTGGTTACCTGAAAACTATAAACGTAATGTCGGTAGCAGTCACCATGATTAATCAAAATACTGGTACTACTTGTTATGACTGCGGACATTACGCTTTATATGTTACGGTATGATGGAACGAAGACTGATAATGCTCGGCGCAAGGAAGAACAGTGTTATAACTTGTGGCCTGTGTGCCCCGTTAATGTATAACGTAACAATACCGCCAGTTTGAGAGTAGTGAATTATCGATCGGACCAATGACGCGTTAAACCCGTGCGAGTAGTCTAGAGTCCTTATTGGTTCTGATTTCCGCTTAGCCCAGCCAGTTAAGTTCAGAACACTAATCTCAGCCTCTGCGATATGAATCATTTATTTAAAGTATACTCGGTTTATATACCAACCAGACAGACCACATCGTACAATAAAATAGGAAACAACATTTATACAAGATTTGGCCAAATGTGGCTGTGAATGTGGCAGGTAGTAATTCATAGACAGGGCATAATTTAAGAATGGTAAATCGTATAATAATAGTTCATAGGTCAAAATAAGGCTCATAATAAGAGGGACAAGAATATGAACAGTCTAGTTATTTAAAAATTAAACGATAAAAGTATACGCATAGTATCGGTTCATAAATGGATCGCAAAAGTTACCATTCATTATGCCTATCGGGGCATAACAAACAGTAAGAGAGCAAATGAAAAGTTTACCGTAAACCAACCACAAATTCCCAATTGTTCAAAATAATAAAAACCACAATAAGCTATATTTCGTTTATTTATCTGGCCATTAGTTAAACCTGAATACATCAAACTGGAAGTAGTTGACATTCATTAATCAATAATTTAGTGTAAGTATTACTTACTTAAATTGTCAAACGCTTTCTCATAGTCAAGGAAGTCAATGTATAGTGAAGAATTCCGTAGGGTTGCGATTTGATCTATGCACGACCGATCATTATGGAATCCTGCCTGTTGATCTCGAAGTTGGACGTCTACTGAACCTTTCATTAGGTTCAGCAACACTCTGTTGTAAAATTTTGCTGGTGCTGATAGTAGTGTGATACTTCTGTAGTGCAGTGTAATGTATACAATTTATAATATCGATAAATTAACAACTTCATCTACAGGAACTATAAGTTACGACCAATGTTCCAAATTAAGACATCTAACCATGATGTATGCAGATCAGTTATTGTTGGATGTTCAATACATTAAGCGATGTAAGTGAACACGTAGAAATTACAACTGTTAGTGTTTGAGTCAAGATTTAGTCAGTAATCAGAACAACCACGAACAACAGAATATCTACAGCAAGAAATTTGTGATTAGCTATTCTAAATTCGGATGGCACATCTCGGTAAGCTTAGAAACACATGGATAAGTGACTTAATCGGTGAAAAAATTAGCGATGGGTACAGCTACGGAGAAGCTCAATCATGATAAGATATTACCTTTAGAAAGTTTACAACTTAAATTTCACATACTACTAGTAAACTGACCTGAGAGCTCTGTCAGCCATCCCAGATGTCTACCGGGGTTAGAACAGCTGATCTATTAGCTAGTAGTCATCAAGGTAAGGCCTGAAACGAACGTGTATGAGATGGTTACAGCAGGGAAGGAAAGCTTCAAGATAAGAAGCAAAAGAGGGAACTTAAATTTAACATTAATAAATATCGAAACATGGAGGGGTTATGGTTCAAGAGGAAGAAACAAGAGCAAAGAATGGAGATTTAAGAATAGCACTTAATACTTAGAAGACAGACAACGAATGCAACAACTGGATCGCAACTAACTTCACTCCATGATACTTAACACCCCACCCACCCATTGATTACGGGTAGATGATTAAAATTCTGGTGAGAAGCCGCGATCAATGAACTTCAACAGAGTTGGAAGTGAGATAGTTACTTTCCGATGACATCCTATTTTGGTTTGAAACTTAAATGACTGAATTTCAACTCAGCGCTTGGTATGAGGCCTAACAGTCTTGGATTCAGTCGTTGACAGAGTCGTGAGTAGGTACTAATGATGCTGATTCAATACGAAAACCGTCTCAAAATAATGGCTAAAACTCTAAACCACTTAACCAAGAAATATTACTAATAAATTAGTTAATAAACTATAGAAAAACCATTTTAGTGGGTGTTTATGGACGTAACCCAGTAATCGAGTCCAGGTTTGTGAACTTTCCTTTAAAACACCTAAATGAATGTTGGTGGTGCCGACTGGTTGTATAAATTAAAAAATGTGAAGCTGAACTTCAAATTAAAAGTTAATAATTAACAATAAAACACTTTACATAATAAGCAATCACTCCGCTATGAAATGTCAACAACTGTTACAAACATCATACTGTGGGTGAGCTAATATGCGAACGAACGTAAGTAATACGCAGCAGGAATCGGAAGTAGAATGCTTACCAGCAAAAGATCGAAATAAAAAGGAGGAACAAAAACAGAGAGCAATCGGAATAACAACAGGATTGGAAGAATGGAGTATTTAAAGGATAACTCAATGGAAATTTGCAAATAATGTATTTAATGTGTAATTTCCATATTTTACAAAGGCATTGTGTAACTTAGCATAAAATAATAAACTGGTTTTCCCCACCATATTTTCGTTCATTGCAATACTATTAGAAATACTCAAACAAATCTAACAGCTTTCTAGCTTACCCGATAAACAGAATCTACTGATACAGGACCTGATTTAGTAGAACTTCCTGAGATCTGTGGTGAATGTGTCACTTGACAACTGTACACAGGTTGTGCAAACTGATGTGGTTGGATAGTTGGTTTAGCCATGGCAACCAGGGTAGGTGTTGATGGTAAAACGCTGCGACATCCAGACACTACAGAATTTAAACTGGAAGGATTTACTAGACTACTCATACTGACAGCAGTTGATGTAGTCGACGAGACAACCGAAACTGGAGTAATCATTACAGATGAGAAAGATGAAGCGAGTTGCTGCTTACGTGCTCTCTTTCGACTGGGCTGAGAAAAAATAGATGAAGTCGGGAGGCGATGAGAACTAATGCAAACTGAGTTATTCTGAGAAAAATTTGAACGGGTATGAGATATTGAAGAAGTTGAAGCAGATATCGATGGTTGTAAAGGAGTTAATTTGGCTGGAGCAATATTGACCGGTAAAATATGCGGTACCACAGATGCGCTGGACGAGGTAGCAGATAATCCTGTGTTTCCGCTTAAGTTGAATGGTTTTAAAAGCGATGTAGGACCCATAACCGTACTAGTATTTGGTACATATCCAACTGCTGAAGGTCCACTAGCCTATATGTCACAGAAAAATTTAAAAGTTAATCAGGTATAAACCATCGACAATTAACAAAGTATTGAAGGTGTGTGTGCGTAACTTTCATAGTTTGTAGCTATATGCTAACGATATTCTGACAGCATCCAATGTAATAATACTGTTTCAACACAGAGGACTTTTACATTCTATTGGTCGTTCAGTGTTATAGTAACAGAAATAATCAGTCAGTCAGCTACAACGTAAGACCAGGCACACACACATGCATCGGTACAAGTTGCCACACCTCATTAGCACAAGCTGAACACAAAATTCATAGTAGTTGATTCAATGGTGGTAATATATAAAAGAAAGATTGCATATTAGGATATAGTGTAGGAAGAAAGAATAATTTGGTAGAAAGATATAATCCCATAGTTTAAGTGAAAACAGAGAGTGCATACACCTACGCCATTGTGATCGATTCTGAGCCATGTTACGCAGTCTCTAACCATTGGTTACGATAATCAAGCAGACTCCAACCAAGTTGACTGCATCTACCAACATGGCTCAGACCAGAAGTTACTGACTTTAAGCACTGATTCCACGTTTTGGTTTGGCCGCCTCTAACTTTACTCCAACCCACCCCAACACTAGTCAGCTTTGTGCGTCATGATAATCGGTGTACAGACATACGTATAAATGTGACCGCCTTTCCTGAAATATTTCAAGTCAAATGTAAAACGGAAGCCGAGCTCGGGTTTTATTTTTCTTGGTATCAATTGACAAGACACATTTTTAACCACTAATTGAATCTATTTTTGCACCACTATTAATTCGTACGATCAGATGTAACACTGATTGGCAAATCCTCCCGACCGTTGTTGCTACCTTGACGTGGTGGTCGGGCTTGCCTATCGTGATGAAGCAACCGAGCTATATTGGCTGGAACAACCGTTCCTCAAGGTCCTACCATGTCAGACAGGTCGGTTGAAGAGCGGTAAGACTAAAAGCAACAAACCCAAGGTCCGAAGGCGAAGTCGTACTGCTGACTGTACAGAGGTGTGACAGCAGTAAGGTGTTTCCCTCGGACAACCAGCATGACAGCGATGCTGCCTTCCCACAAGGAGGGGTGGGGTTAGAAAACGTCGACCCTAAAAATGCACACCTCACCTTACCTCACGGATTTCCGTCTCCGGCGGTAAGGCCCTTTGAAGAACGGAGCTAACACGTCAAATACCTCCCACGAAAAGGCCGTGCGCGACCGGCCTCAAGCAGTTGTCCCTTGGGCACTGCGGCCACGCTCTCAGGTCACTGAGACCACCTCTAATCCAATTTCCTTTTCAGGTACCTCCAGAAGAACCCTTCCTCGGTGTGGGCAACCGGGCAGTGATAACCGCCCTCATACCTCTAACAACACCCAAGACCACTGTATTCATAATCAATCTTCCTCTTCAATTCCTATTATTCCTCCTACATCGACTTTCAACCCTAAACTTCCTCCTTCGGCTTCCTCCTCAAGTGTCACCATAGCCAACGATTCCAGTGCTCAAAACTCTGTCCCAGGTCTACTGAAACCTCGCTTCAAACTATACATTGGAGCCTCCAACCTACGCCTCTATGTCAAATCGGTCATCAGGCTTCCTTGGCTAGAATCCTAGAATCTCTTACCATTGATGTATGCTGTGTCTCCGAAACACACATACAGGATCCCAGTGTGGTCATTCACTTGACCTCACCTCGGCAAAACGTAGAGCCAACGAGATACACCCTACGTGTATCTGGTGACCCGATGGCCAGTTCTCGTGGACTGGCAGGTGTAGGCATAGCACTAAGCATGAGGGCGGAACAAGCACTGCTAGAGTGGATCCCCGTCAACAGTCGTCTATGTGCTGTTCGGCTAAACGGCTCCGTAAAAACTCGGAAGGATAGGGACACACGTCGTTGCCTTTTCGTCGTTTCTGTCTACGCTCCCACTGACTGCAGCTCAGATGATGTGAAAGATGAATTTTACAGAAAGCTTTCTGAACTTCTTCAGAAAGCTAAACGTTCAGACATAGTACTCGTAGGGGGTGACCTTAATGCTCAGATAGGTAGCTTAAACCAAACAGAAAGGCATTTAGGTGGATATTTTAGCATTCCAGCACAGCGAACAGATAATGGTGACCGTCTGCTGCAACTGTGTTCAGACAATCGCTTATTTCTAGCAAACACAAATTTTAAGCATAAGGAGAGACATCGTCTAACGTGGCGACCGCCTGCACCAAACCAACGATGGACTCAAATAGACCATATTGCCATCAGTCATCGTTGGAGAGGGTCGGTACAAGATTGTCGCTCATTCTGGAGTACCTGCTTGGACTCCGACCACGCCCTAATACGGGCACGCATCTGCTTGCGCCTCACTGGACGCAAAAAAGCCACAGTAAAAAGACCCATTAGAACCGAACTGAGTAGCGAGGAAACCAAAAGTAGGTTCCAAGAACAACTGAGGTCACGATTAGGTAGTTCTGAAGACGAGGCTGACCCAGATGTTGCTTGGAATGAAATACAAGCAGCTGTGGAAACAGCAGTGACATCTATTAGCGACTTAAACCACAGAGTTTCAAAGAACCAGTGGATTTCTTCAAAGTCTATCACACTGATGGATTCTCGCAAACTCGTCCCATCAGGTTCTGAACATGATGAAGAGCGACAACAAATCAGATCTAGGTTAAGAAAAAGTCTAAGAAACGACCGTGAGCAGTGGTGGGCAACGAAAGCAAAAGAGATGGAAAAGGCGGCGACTATAGGGAACACAAGACAGCTTTACAGACTAATAAAAGAAACTGGAATTAATAAGTCAAGTGTAAGTGAGATTATATCGGAAAAAGACGATACTCTCATCTGCTCCCAGTCCAGACGTTTAGAACGATGGGCGGAACATTTCAGAGAACAGTTCAACTGGCCTTCAGTTACTCTACAACTACCCTCCATTCCCAGACAGTGTGAATGGAACATTGAAGTAGGTCCCCCAACTCTTGCTGAAGTTCAAAAGGCTATAGTTAATCTGAAACGAGGAAGGGCAGCTGGTCCAGATGGACTGGCTCCAGAGGTCTTTAAGGATGGTGGTCCAATTTTAGCGATTAGGTTGACTAATATTTTAGCTAAGATCTGGGAGTTAGACGTTATTCCATCTAACTGGTCACAATCACTTATCGTCCCAATATATAAGAAAGGGTCAAAATCATCCTGTGACAACCACAGAGGGATTAGTTTAACTAATATAATATCTAAAATACTAGCCTCGATAATTATCAGACGCCTAACTAAGACTCGTGAACTGAAAACACGAGAGACTCAAGCTGGCTTCAGACCTGGTCGTGGCTGTATCGACCACATATTCACCATTCGTCAGATTCTAGAACACAGGCATACTTATCGGCGTCCGACAATGGTGATCTTTCTCGACTTAAAAGCAGCATTTGACTCGGTAGACCGCGAGATTCTGTGGCAGTGTCTGTCATTGAAAGGTGTACCCCAGAAGTACATAAACCTTGTAAAGGCTCTTTACTCGAACACTACTAGTCGAGTCAGAGCTTATGGCGAACTGTCATCTACTTTTGCAACCTCAAGTGGTGTCCGTCAAGGCTGTCCACTTTCCCCATTTTTGTTTAACTTCATCATAGATCTACTGATGGAAATAACTTTCTCATCGACTGAGTTCTCGGGTATTGATCTCCATCCAGGAGGTCCACTTATCGACTTAGAATACGCAGATGACATAGTCCTGTTTGGTGAAGACGCTGACAAAATGCAGAGTCTTCTGGTAGCACTGAGCAACAATGCCAGAATGTTTGGAATGCGCTTCTCTCCCTCTAAATGCAAGTTGTTGCTTCAGGACTGGTCTGCGTCAACACCTGAACTAAGGATAGGGAGTGAAGTAGTCGAACGCGTTGACAACTTCACTTATCTTGGAAGTCTGATCAGCCCTAATGGGTTGGTATCGGACGAAATCTCGGCACGGATTCGAAAAGCTCGATTGGCTTTTGCCAACTTGCGTCACCTATGGCGAAGGCGAAATATCCGTCTATCAATAAAAGGACGGGTATACTGCGCGACAGTCCGTTCTGTTTTAATTTACGGTAGCGAAACATGGCCATTAAGAGTAGAAGACACTCGTAAGCTATTAGTATTTGACCACAGATGCCTCAGAAATATTGCTGGCATCTGCTGGGATCACCGGGTAAGTAATAGTGAGGTTAGACGCAGGGTATTGGGGAATGATGGTAAATCAGTTGATGAGGTTATGAACCTTCATCGACTGAGATGGTTGGGCCACGTGTTACGTATGCCTGAACACCGATTACCACGACGTGCAATGCTATCCGGTATTGGAAATGGTTGGAAGAAAGTTAGGGGCGGCCAAACCAAAACGTGGCATCAGTGCTTGAAGTCACTAACTTGTAGTCTGAGCCATGTTGGTAGATGCAGACTACTTGGTTGGGGTCCGCGTGACTTTCATAACCAATGGTTGGAGACTCTTGGTGACATGGCTCAGAATCGATCACAATGGCGTCGGTGTATACACTCCCTGTCTTCCCTTAAACTAAGAGATTAAAATCATTTCATATCTTTCCTTCTACGAACCAATTCTTTCTTCTTGTACTATATCTCTATATGCAATCTTTCTCTTATATATTACTACCTTTGACCTAACCACTGCTGTGAATCCGGTGTTCATCTTGTTGTGCTGATGCGGTATGGCAACCTGGACCGATGCACATATGTGCCTGGTCCTACGTTGTAGCTGACTGACTGACCTCCCACAGAGTTACCAACTTAACATATATCTTAAACAGAAATACATCTAGAAAGGAACCTAAAACTTAGTTCAAACTTCAGAAATCATATACCTAAAGATAGATTACATAGAACTTGTGTTGTAACTACACGAAAGTACCACCCGACAAAATCAACCGCATATTGTAATATTGGGTACAATAAAAAAAACTGATCACAAAATTCGGTTGATGTGCAATCGACAAGACACAGTCTAAGAATCTAGTGTTATATAATGAGAAGATATAAAGGTAATACAATATTTTCAACTCCAGTCTATGGAGAATTTCTATTTGATAACTAAAATATGACTGGTCACTTACACGAACAATTAGTGGAGAAGCAGGACTGGAAGAATTTATTTGCCGGACAGGATTTGTAAGCATTCCTGTAACGCTTGTACATGTTGTAGGAGTACTATGAACATTTGAATTTGCCAAGTTGAAGGCCAGCACTGTATGATTAGCTGCACTCAAGGGTAAAGATGGACCTGTATTTGATGAACTTCCAGAAAAACTTCGAAGAGACATCATCAAACTTGGATTTAAAGATGAAGAAGTTGCTATAGTTGACTGAACAGGTAAGTCAGATTGAGCTTGAACAATCAAGGATTGTGAAGACTGAATGGCAACAACATTACCACTGGAAGGAGACATGAACGAAACATTAGGATTCACTGTCAACCCTGACCATACACTACCTGTATTTGCTATAGATGGCCGAGTTGAAAGTGCTACAGTCTGAGATAAGGATGTCGGGAAAGCTAAAGCACTATTTCCAGAAGTGGATACAGTGCATGTGGATTTAGTAGTCGTGCAAACCGTAGATGGAGGTGTAATCAAACGAACAGTAGCAGATAGCGGTGTGGTAAAATTAACCAATTTAGCTGTAAGATAAAGGTATAAATAAGAATTTATTATTCTTATATATTATCACACTTTTCTGATATTTTTAACACATATTATGGACCTATGTTCTTATATTAACCACCGAAAAGCAAATGAATGTTTTGAAAACCGTCATATATCCAACTAACTTTCATAACAACCGATGGAGAATATGGGATTCATGATGATAATGACAGATATTTCAACCAGTAACTTCAAGCAAAACATTTATAGAACCCACCTCAAAAATTGTAATCCAATTTAGTAATAGAGTATGAGTAATTTTTTGCTTTCCGAACCATACTTAGGGTGAGAACTGGATATATAATACCCGGATTTCCAGACTAAGGTACGACAGTTCGAAAATGTAGAGCCTAAGATGGTTAACTATTAAATTGTATCTCCTCTGCTTGAAAAGGTGGTAATATTGAAGTTCCAAATTTTACTTTAAAAATGTTGGGTACGATAGATCCCCAAAACCCATATTTTGTAGTTTCATCTAATCGATTAACTTATCGATTAAATGTTCAAATATTTGAATGGCAGTCAATTGATGAACTTATCGATTAAATGTTTAAATAGCAGCCAATTGATGAACTTATTGATTAATGTTTAAAAATTTTCCATGACAATATCGATTATAAATATTTGTATAAATACTCTTGATTTGTGTGCTTGACCTGACTTGACTTCGTATCTGCTGTTTGCCTGTAGAATACACTTTCTACACCTTACGAAGTCTTCTTGATCGAGTTAGCTGAGTCGGGGACAACGAACCAGAATAGCCTAACGAGTCTCTGAATCCTGATCCTTCGTTCCGTTCCGAATAAGCCGAATCAGTAGTAGCATTCAAGCTTAACGAACATAACAAAAAACACTAGTACATTTCTTGATTTTTTTCAGGTATCTAAATGATAATTTTCACATTAATTTTGTAAAATGTTGAGTGTAACAGACGAACAACCTTTGACAACTGATATTGTTTGATGATAAAACATGTGAGTAATCGGAACTACATTCACGGAGAAGTGGCTTTATGATCAGTGCGTTTAACTCCCGGTTAATAATTCCTAGATTCGAACGCCACCCCATTTACTTCAACTTGGGCAACAGGGTAACATAATAACTCATCACAATCAAGGTGCTTGATGAATGAATTTTTAGAAGTGTTTACATAAGCTTCATATTCAAAGGCAAAAGTTTACGGCATTTCCTTTTTTAGACAAAATAAGCTCTGTACAGTTTGTTTACCGAAACCTAAGTTTTACATAAAAACGATATCATATACAGGTTTGTGGTTTACGAGTAATTAATTCCTTTTTTCACTCATCTTACTTTCTAAACTAGAAAAGATTGGATCATATTTGTCAACTAGTGATTAGTATGGTTCCCAGATAAGCTATTTGGTATCCACATATTAAGGTACATCTGAAACCCTGTAGACATTTAAACCCATATTAAGAGACATTATCGTCAAGTTACGCAGTCCGAAAAAATTGAAATCTGTAGAAATTAAGGGAAATACTAGACAAATATAGTTACTTTTTGATGTTTGTGGAGACTGTGTATTTACTTGATCATGGAAAATGATAGCGGGATTCGATAAATTGGTGAAACTGGAATCAGATGTACTCATCTTACTGGGAGATACAGTAGTAATTGAAGTTGTTGGATTCTCTATCAAAGATGGTGGGTTTGAAAGGCTTTGAGGTTTGTGAATAAGTACGCGTGGAGTTGAGCAGAGAGTAGAACTCATGAGCAAACTTCCAGATACAGAAGTCGGTGCAGGGAAATTTATGGCAGTTACACAATGTGATCTTTGAGACTGGAGTGGCAACGTAACATTTGTTGTAGGAGTTTCAAACACTAGTGGGCAGGCACTTGAATTCACTGTTGCAGTTGTAACCATAGCGCTACATTGGGTTGACGTATGGGTTGCGAATCTATAAAAGGAAAGCAACAGAAAACAAAGATGAAAACTGCTACAATATTTCCAACTAGCTATCAAGCAATTCACAATGAAAACCTCTAAGGGCATACATTTACGGAAACAAGCGTCGAATACTAGATAAATGCAATTCGCATTTGTACTGAAAGTGTTATAAAGGGTAAAATACCCAACTTAATTATGGACTAGCTGTCTATCAGATTCTTTTTAAATTAAGCCCAACTCGCTGAAAATTTTCAGTAAGCGCAGGGTTAAAAATAGTAGACTGTTTGATAGGTGATCAGTGTAATGAACTGGTACTCAGTGTTTATTAAAACTTGACACGTAATTTATGCAATGGGAATGCTGAGCTCAGTTATGGATCACAGACAAACATTTTATAGGATGTTCCAAAGCTAGTTTCATATGAACAAATAAACATAATCAAACAGTGTTTATTGTCCCATAATACACTTGCCTATTCTGGATAATTTAGTAAAGGTAACATTAGCCATAATTCTGAAAAAGATTGTTAGGATACTCGAAGTATTAGATTTTCCAGAGGTTTGGAAAATGAGTATTGATTACAGCTTTAGAAGGAACATCTCCAACCAGCTAACACTAAATACAATGCATTATGATATCCAGCCACTCAGACCTGTGACTAAACTGTGGCTTGTTCAACACTGTAGATTATACAATGTCGAAGTCTGTCGCGACTCAAAGAACTTAGTAAGTGTCTCACTGTGGTAAGGGTCTGAAACCCATGGAGGGAAGCAATGCCATTAGAATCGAAGAGGCATCTTGTAAAAGATTCCCTGAATGAAAGGTAGGTTTGCAACTGATTGCCTAGTCATCTAACATCAGAAATTTTAGATACAGTTAACTGGTCTACCCCGACCTTCATAGAAACAAAATCTACATCCAAGACATATTACATATTAACATACTACCACCAAAATAATTATGATAACAATACAAAAGATGAAAAACTGAGGCCATTGAATACACAATGTATGCCAACAAAAAGCTGTGTAAGATATTTGAGCTCCGGTACGCCTTAAATAGCTATAAAATATGAGCCCTATTCCCATTAACACAGAAAACGTTTACCTTCTCAGCAGTAAAACACTATCACCTTTGGTGGTATTTGACAAAAACTACTGGAAAAAAAATTTAATATTGAAAAAAATGTTTAAAATATGTAGTAATGCATTTTATTAAAGGCATTAATGTCACGAAGTGAGCAAACCTTAAAGCAAGTGTTGGTTGTATGTGGTTTGGAGCCTGTGGAGATATGACAACAGAAGCTACTGACGGCGATGTGGAACAGTTTTTATTGATTAACGAAGCAACTAGTGGGGTGGAAGCTGTCGTAACACCAGATGTACCTAGCCGTGATGGACTGTTTAAAACATTCGGTACGGACAAACAAGATGCAGTAGTTGTGACACTTGGGTGTAAAAAGATACTTTGACTTGATGCTGATGCAACACTAGAGCTTCCTGAATAGTTCCCCAAGTGAAGTTGTAGTGGTGTCGGTGCACTTGATGTTGACGGAGGCAATGTAGATGCGGCAGCCAATATCAAAGGGAAGAACTGATTGGTAGAATTAATGGGAGATGAAACTGATGTAGCCGACATATGTAAACTAGAAGCATGTGGTAGAGGCGTATTGGCACCAGATGCAGTGGTGAGAGCAGTAGGTTGTATTATTGTTTGATTTATCAGACTAGACAGAGGTTGCTGAACGCTAAGCAATACACGTGGGAAAAATGGTACTGTTTTGGATGAATTGGAAGAAGGGTTTTGCAGAATGGAAGTACATATATGAGTTGGACGATCTGGTTCTAGAGGGGAATTCATAAAAATAGGCAACCACTAAAAAAACTACATGGTAAGGATATGAGTATGATCAAATTATTTGTTTATGGATAGTATAATTCAAAAAAGAAACTCCGATAACTACTAATGAGAAATGCACCAGACGTAAAAAGGGATATATATATATATATATATATATATATATATATATATATATATATAACTGGTTCTTAAGGTAAACTGTTATTACGTTTGGTAACTTTAGTTTTATAACCAAACCCTAAATGTACAATTCATTTACAAATTAGAGCATTTCGCAAAACGCGTGCGAACTATTCCACTAAGATCCATGCTTACCAATATAAGTAGGAAGTGGAAAATGAATGTATAACAATTTCCTTTATTACATACTTCACAGACAAGGGTAGAGTAATGAACATAATGTGACCAAATTAACTTCAATTTATCTTACGTCCCAAATGACAGTATTCATAACTCACAATAAGGCGTGAATTCCTTAACTGTAACTATTTAGTTATCAAGCAACAACTACATAAATCCCTAAATTATGCTCGGAAGTGCTTATATACCACAGATAGTGATAGAGCCTTGGATGAATAGATTTTAATGAGTTCAAGCAAAGGCATGTTCATCCAGCTGACAAGCCCTTAATGGAAACCGTACCGAAGAGCAATACAGGGCATATTACTATATAGGAAGGATAAGAATAAAGCTTAATGGGTGGTTGTCAGTTCCACTTCCTCATAATTAGCCTACGGAACCTGTATTTTCCGATCATCTATGCTACGATGTTCTCCATGTTTATTATGTCCAGTGTTTTCACTTGTAACCAGACCACTTTGCAAGAAATAGCCCTATTTTTATTGCCGAGTTGTGTTGATTCGTTAATGATTAATTTTGAGCTCGTGTCAATGGTTCAGTCTTGTGACCAGCTATCAGTCGGTCATGCTACAATATAACCCATCGATCACCATTGGTTCTTTTAAAACCCGAATTGGTTTGCAACAAATCGTAAGACCATCAAGCACAACGCTTCACAGTATACTTTCCTTTTGATAGATAGAGCCAACAGAAGACTTGGTCTGACTGAGGGATAAGTTAGGATTCCGACCATGATGTAATGCAATCAAGCGTTTATCAGCCTTAGTGAACACAAAAGGATTTTGATCTTAAAGCCGAGTCTAGTTCAGCTTGGTGTTTGTGGTAACGTTAGTTGCAACAATTAGTTTGATGCAAAAAATGTTTATACCAAAAAAGCCCAATCTAAGTTAATCATAAATAGGCGATGTTTCTTGACAACCTTAGCCAGAAGCTTAGGAAAGACCGGTCGGTTCTTGAGGTTACTGCTTGATTAAAAGATGTTCGGAAGAACATCTCGGAGTGTTCAGAACACAACGAGCGAAAGAAACCTAAATCTAGACTTTAAAAAGTGTGGGTAGTGATTAGAAGTGGTGGATGATGAAAGTGAAATGGATGAAAGAAGTATAGGCAATAGGCAGATACTCAGACTGAAAAAAAAGGTAAGCGCCAAGATATTGGTAGCCATCGTGTTAAAAGACGATGTTAGGATTCACTGTCAGATTAGGCGATTAAGGAGTAGTTTAACTGGTATGTAGTTAATCTACGGTTCTTCATTACTCAGCACCCTGAAAATATTAACCTGAAGCCACTGGAGCTTAAGCTTTAAGGAGTATGACATAAAGCGAGAGAGAGAGAGCAGAAGGACTTGACGGAATAACTTCGGAGGTTTTTAGAGAGTGATTTAGAAATATCATTAGAATCGGCTGGTAATAACTGAGACTTGGCAGTCGTAATAATTCTATACGACTTGCTATAAAAGCTAACAGTGATAGTTTAAAAAGTACAGGAATTGTCTTGTAATGACCACATAAGGATAAGTTGAACTAATGTTTAAGATACTAACTTCAATAATTTGGAACCTAACCGAAGCTAGAGAACAGGAAGCCGCGAAACATCAAGTAGGTCACAAATATGGTCGTGAATGTGTAGGTTGAGCATTCACTCCAATGTTTCTGAACATGAGAATAAAGATGGTGAACGCAGTCACCTATTTTGAGTTGAGTTGTTAGCGGGACATAGATTAGATCAAAATATGCTTTGATTTTTTGGGTGGTAGGACTTAAACCTGCCCCCAAATGCCCTGGTACGCTCGAGAGCGAGGAGAGTCCGCCCTCCCTCTCCAAATGTTCTCACATGGCCATGCGTATATAGCCTCTACCAGGGAAGTCCTACTCATTACCTTCTCGTGACGGGGGTGTTGTTTACGAAATTAAGAGGACGAAAAGCGAATGTCCGGCGCTTTAACCGGGTCAGTGGACATGGAGAGTAAACCTAGGGGAGTTGGAAAACGCTAATTCCAAACCAATAGTGCACATGGGCTACAGTATCCTGAGTGAACAAATGGCGTATGAACCAATCGTTGGTCACCGACTACCATGGGACTGCATCTCCTTACGACGCTCCACTGACTTGTGGATCAGACCTTCAGGTCGAAGGCTCCGGGTGTGGCCCACTAAGAAAACCACCTGCTTCTGTTTGGGCACCCGAGCAGTATCACAGCTCTCACACAAATCAAATGAGATTTGTGTGGCGCATATGTATTTGGTGCCTCCTTCCCGACCGTTGTTGCTACCTTGACGTGGTGGTCGGGCTTGCCTATCGTGATGAAGCAACCGAGCTATGTTGGCTGGAACAACCGTTCCTCAAGGTCCTACCATGTCAGACAGGTCGGTTGAAGAGCGGTAAGACTAAAAGCAACAAACCCAAGGTCCGAAGGCGAAGTCGTACTGCTGACTGTACAGAGGTGTGACAGCAGTAAGGTGTTTCCCTCGGACAACCAGCATGACAGCGATGCTGCCTTCCCACAAGGAGGGGTGGGGTTAGAAAACGTCGACCCTAAAAATGCACACCTCACCTTACCTCACGGATTTCCGTCTCCGGCGGTAAGGCCCTTTGAAGAACGGAGCTAACACGTCAAATACCTCCCACGAAAAGGCCGTGCGCGACCGGCCTCAAGCAGTTGTCCCTTGGGCACTGCGGCCACGCTCTCAGGTCACTGAGACCACCTCTAATCCAATTTCCTTTTCAGGTACCTCCAGAAGAACCCTTCCTCGGTGTGGGCAACCGGGCAGTGATAACCGCCCTCATACCTCTAACAACACCCAAGACCACTGTATTCATAATCAATCTTCCTCTTCAATTCCTATTATTCCTCCTACATCGACTTTCAACCCTAAACTTCCTCCTTCGGCTTCCTCCTCAAGTGTCACCATAGCCAACGATTCTAGTGCTCAAAACTCTGTCCCAGGTCTACTGAAACCTCGCTCCAAACTACACATTGGAGCTTTCAACGTACGCACTCTATGTCAAATCGGTCAACAGGCTTCCTTAGCTAAAACCCTAGAGTCTCTTTCCATTGATGTATGCTGTGTCTCCGAAACACGCATACAGGATTCCAGTGTGGTCATTCACTTGACCTCACCTCGGCAAAACGTAGAGCCAACGAGATACACCCTACGTGTATCTGGTGACCCGATGGCCAGTTCTCGTGGACTGGCAGGTGTAGGCATAGCACTAAGCATGAGGGCCGAACAAGCACTGCTAGAGTGGATCCCCGTCAACAGTCGTCTATGTGCTGTTCGGCTAAACGGCTCCGTAAAAACTCGGAAGGATAGGGACACACGTCGTTGCCTTTTCGTCGTTTCTGTCTACGCTCCCACTGACTGCAGCTCAGATGATGTGAAAGATGAATTTTACAGAGAGCTTTCTGAACTTCTTCAGAAAGCTAAACGTTCAGACATAGTACTCGTAGGGGGTGACCTTAATGCTCAGATAGGTAGCTTAAACCAAACAGAAAGGCATTTAGGTGGATATTTTAGCATTCCAGCACAGCGAACAGATAATGGTGACCGTCTGCTGCAACTGTGTTCAGACAATCGCTTATTTCTAGCAAACACAAATTTTAAGCATAAGGAGAGACATCGTCTAACGTGGCGACCGCCTGCACCAAACCAACGATGGACTCAAATAGACCATATTGCCATCAGTCATCGTTGGAGAGGGTCGGTACAAGATTGTCGCTCATTCTGGAGTACCTGCTTGGACTCCGACCACGCCCTAATACGGGCACGCATCTGCTTGCGCCTCACTGGACGCAAAAAAGCCACAGTAAAAAGACCCATTAGAACCGAACTGAGTAGCGAGGAAACCAAAAGTAGGTTCCAAGAACAACTGAGGTCACGATTAGGTAGTTCTGAAGACGAGGCTGACCCAGATGTTGCTTGGAATGAAATACAGGCAGCTGTGGAAACAGCAGTGACATCTATTAGCGACTTAAACCACAGAGTTTCAAAGAACCAGTGGATTTCTTCAAAGTCTATCACACTGATGGATTCTCGCAAACTCGTCCCATCAGGTTCCGAACATGATAAAGAGCGACAACAAATCAGATCTAGGTTAAGAAAAAGTCTAAGAAACGACCGTGAGCAGTGGTGGGCAACGAAAGCAAGAGATGGAAAAGGCGGCGACTATAGGGAACACAAGACAGCTTTACAGGCTAATAAAAGAAACTGGAATTAATAAGTCAAGTGTAAGTGAGATTATATCGGAAAAAGACGATACTCTCATCTGCTCCCAGTCCAGACGTTTAGAACGATGGGCGGAACATTTCAGAGAACAGTTCAACTGGCCTTCAGTTACTCTACAACTACCCTCCATTCCCAGACAGTGTGAATGGAACATTGAAGTAGGTCCCCCAACTCTTGCTGAAGTTCAAAAGGCTATAGTTAATCTGAAACAAGGAAGGGCAGCTGGTCCAGATGGACTGGCTCCAGAGGTCTTTAAGGATGGTGGTCCAATTTTAGCGATTAGGTTGACTAATATTTTAGCTAAGATCTGGGAGTTAGACGTTATTCCATCTAACTGGTCACAATCACTTATCGTCCCAATATATAAGAAAGGGTCAAAATCATCCTGTGACAACCAC